AATTGTTCGTCTTCCAGCGCGATGACGTTCCCCACTGGGCATAATAGTCGAAGATCTTCAGATATTGTGAACGAGATATGGCAGGGGGGGTGGTATCCTCAGAACACCATGCAGTTGTATTGTGCACGTGGGTGATACGCGGCCCCAGCACTGTGGGGAGTGCATGAGCACATAACAGCGTAGTGAGCAGCATTGACATGTTGAACTATACATACCCGAGAAGGTGCGGGATCGAATACTACTCACTCCCAAAGATCTCGAAGCAAGCCGTCACGATATGCGATGAGCGCAAGCGTCGATGAAGAATTCTGTGCACACTTTCAGTCGGGTTGAGTTCGATGGCTTGTAGCAGCAGATACTGATATCGGGCCAGACGATGATGCTGACGGAGAATCGATGATTCTTCGCAATCCTGCATCATGGAGTTCGCGCTGCCTCTGCGCAGTGCCCACCCACTGCTTTACTGTCTCGTTGCCGTACTCTTCTGCTGAGATTCGTGCTTTGCTTGATCATCTGTAGTGCCAGCGACGTCAGTTCAAGAACAAGGCTTCGGTTACCTGAATAGCCATCAATGCGCGGAAGCATTCCCATGGATCGCGTGCTGGACAGATAGTGGGAAATTGAAATGTTGTGATGCAGACTGGCAGTTACTAGCGAAGTTTGCCCCTTCAAGCATAATGAATATTGTGGATCCGGAGGGCGTATCGAAGGGTGCTCGGGATGAAGATTATACCCTCGGCACCGGTGGGCATGTGCCGCTTCCGAACTGTCAATATGCGACCAAGTTCTTTCAATGTCCACATTCGCGCAGAGACGACTTACTCTCATCGTCGAGCAGACGCACGTTCAATTGCCGACGAGCCATCAGAATATCTCCAACAATTGTCTCCCGTTACACAACGTACTCCTCATTTGTGGGTGACGCATGAGAGAATTCGCGAAGCCACCATCCCATGCCACGACGGCGCGAGACAAGCGCCGGCGGTGGCATCAGCTAGAAGCAAGCGTGCCGACGGTGTGATTTCGTGTGAGCGGCTAAGAATCTCGGAGCACCCACAACAATACCAACCGCTTCCAGTCCGACGGAATATCGAGATTTGCGCGATTCGTTCATTTTCTGAGCAGACTGGAGAATTCATGACAACCATACGTGCATCGCCTAGATAGTGGTCGCAAAGACGTCAGCCTCAAGATCGCCCCACCTCTCTGTGTCATACCGGCGTGCCCATCTTATGTTCCTTTTCTTCCTGTCCTGGCACCCTTGACCCTCCTGCTGACGCTTGTCCTCTTTCTTGGCCACTGCCTGTTATGCATTGCGGACCGTATCGCCCTCCTTCCTCCACTCGTTTCGCTCCTATGTACACGTCTCAGTTCAAACACGCCAAGCCACTATTAACAATGTGCAGCGAGATCAAAGGCTGTTCCGCCGTCAGAGCAGCGATGCCAACACGAAGGTGGAGGAGAACTGCAGTAAAGACGTAAAACCGAGCCACATTCGCGGCGCGAGACCTCGCGAGACTCGGCGTGGTCGCGTCACGAGTTTAGGGAGTTCAGACGGACCTCCTCTCTGCCCTTGCGATGACTACCGTTGTACCAAGTGCAGCTCGTGAATTAATCGCTAATCTTCAAGGAGCTCTATCATGTCAAAAATGCGATATCGTTCTGGTCAACCTCCGACTGACCGCTGGACGAGATGGCGGACCGTGCAGATGCATGCTTTCCGAGCACCGTTCTGGCGGTTTATTACCGCCCATTCCTCATTCCGATCGGACAGCGGATAGTTCACCCTTATCCCGCTGCAGGAACGTTCTCGAGTACCTTCGATAATGTTCCTATCGTCCCTCCTTGACCGACGGACCGCGAACGGAACGGCTGCTTCCCTCTGACATTACTCCGCCAGTCCCTTGCCGCTCGCGCGACGACGACCTCATTCCGCCGCCCCTTCTCCAGCCAGGAAATAGAGGATAATCTGCATCAAGCGTGCTCCAGGGATAGCTTGCTAGAGTATATCCGTTATATGCCCCTGTTCTCCTCGTCAGTCGTCTATAAAACCTCGCCCATCCTCGCCTTGGTCCTGTCATCACTCACCCATCCTCACATCCATCCATCATGCAGACCCGTGGACGTTCCCTCAGCCTTACTCTCGCCTTGATTGCGCTAGTTCCTGCCACGCTGGCGCAAACGGCTTGCCCAGCCGGAAGCTACAACACCGAGACCGGCGAAGATCCATGCACCGCATGCCCTGCTGGCCAGTACCAAGACCGTGAGTTTAGATCTCTTCACGGGCTCTCTTCACCGCCTCACGTGTGCTTCAGAAACTGGTCAAACTGCGTGTATCAACGCCCAGGCGGGGTATTTCGTCGCCGACACGGGCGCCACAGCACAGACTATCTGCCCGGCGGGTTCCTACAGCGCGACGGAGGGCAGCACGGAGTGCACCACTTGCCCGGCAGGGTCGTCCTGCCCTACGGAGGGTGAGACGGCTCCTGTGTCGTGCCAGCCGGGGCAGTTCCAAGACCAGACCGGCGCGACGACCTGTAACGATTGCGCAGCGGTGAGCACATTCTTCTATTACAGCGCGTTCGGACACGATCTGATCTCGTCGCTGCAGGGCTCCTTCAGCGACGTCTCTGGCGCCACGGCGTGCTGCACCTGCTGCTCCGGATATTACCAAGACCAGACGGGTCAGACGTCGTGCACGATCTGTCCCGCCGAGGGAACCTTTGCGCAAGGCTACTCGGACCCCGGCGCGACGAATGTCGAGCAGTGCACTGCGCAGTCCGGCGCCGTCGCCACTTGTGACCAGGACACCTCGACTGGCACATGCCGTAAGCATCCTCTCTCCTCCATGCAACATGAGATCGTACTGACGATTCGTTCTCAGCCACGACGACCGCAGATCCCGCTACGCCCACCGGCGGAACGCGCAAGCGTGCCCCGCTCCGCCCTCGTTCCGGGTCGTGCGCACGCGGCCAGAGCTCCTGCCCGGTCTACAAAAACGGCGGCGTATCCGAATACGAGTGCGTCAACACGTCGATGAACCTTGAGCAGTGCGGCGGATGCGTCACCAACGGAGGCGGCCTTGACGGCGCTCGATCGCTCGACGGCGGGAGGGACTGTAGCGCGATCCCTCAGGTGGACGAGGTCAGCTGCTTCAAGGGCGGATGCCACATCAGTCAGTTGTGTTCGCAGTTCGGATTGTGTATGCCGCGCTGACCTTCTGGCGTACAGAATCTTGCCGCGCTGGCTACGAAGTCTCGGAGGATGGTGAACGCTGCCAGGCTTCGAAGAGGACCACTCGCAGGCGCTCGCAGGGTCGTAAGAGTAAGAAGACGCTCTAGAGGCGGAACGATAGTTCTACCTATGATGCTTGAAAAATGATATCAAAGTCTTCGGGTTGGATCTTCTTTTTCGTCGAATGCAGTGTTATTACTATCGAAATAAACCGATTTTTGTGCTCTTTCTCCTGCCCACAATTCATCTTGTCTTCCTGCCTTGGTGTTCGGTGCACTGGGACCGCCACCAAGTGCAACAAAGGTTTGTTAACGCCTATGAGTGCATTCCAGTCGGCTTGAAAGACGACATTAGACCCGCGCTCATGCACGTCATCACAAACTCCTCTCGGAATATCCCACGCCGCCGATCACCTGCATGACTCTCATCACGGATTGTCTGCGGACCCGAATCACTAAACTTTCAGCGATGTGCAGTCGATACTTGCTCCCATCCTCTTTAGAGCCTTCAGGCCCGAGCTTCCAGTTGTCCGATCCGAAACTTGAACTTGGGTGGTCACGATTTAACAGTAAGACCGATGTCGGACCCGGCAGTTAGCCAGGATACCCCTCACCACCGGCCATGGGGACTCAGATGGAGATCGTCGGTGTGGTTTGTCACGGCGGGTACGACCTATACCTGAAAGCATGCAGGATGACATTGATCCCAAGTCTCTTCTATGTAGTCGTTGGCGTCGGTATGTTCTGTTGCACCAGGTTGTCCGAACATTCCTTGAATACGGTTTTCTTCCCGCAGGTATGATGACCGACCTGCTCGTCTACTCGGTTGTCCTTCCCGTGTTCCCCTTCAGACTGGAAGGCTTAGGATATAAGCACGTTTCTGATCTCACGGGCTGGCTGCTCTTCGCCTTCGTACGCCGGTATTCATCCCTGCCCTCCCTACGTTGTTCTCAAATTGCTTGCCATTCCATTAGTCTGGCGGCGTTGTAGTCTGTAAGTATATGTGTTCATTCAAGTTGATGTCGCTTTCACGAATCTCCAGCCACTCCGCCAATCGCCTTGCTGTCCGAACGCTACCAGAACCGCAAGGTACCACTGCTGCTAGGAATGCTCGCCCTCATTGGCTCGCAGGTCATGCTCATGGAGGCTCCTTCGTATTCGATTTTGGTCATCGGACGTGTCATACAAGGAATCGCCTCGAGCGTCATATGGATCCTGGGTCTAGCGCTGCTGTGAGTAAGACAAATATGGCATCGTTTTCTCAGAGCTGAAATCAATGTCGATAATCAAGGTGTGATACTGCCCCAGAACAATCAGTCGGTCGTAAGTCTCCCGCGAATCGTCGAACAAAATGTTGAAGGTTGGAACCTGTGCCTCGCAGGTCAGCTGGGTCTTGCCATGTCTGGCGTGTCGCTTGGGCGAGTACCATGTCACATGCAGTCGGATTGCGAATTTGACCCTTCGGAAACTCAGGCTACTCGTCGGCCCGCCAGCAGGTGGCGCGCTGTACTCGCGCTTCGGCATCCGCGGACCGTTCGTCTTTGGGATTGCCATCACCTTTGTCGACCTCGTCGGTCGGCTGTTGATCATCGAGCGCAAGGACGCGTTGGTATGGGGCATTGATACCATGGCGATGTCAGAGAACACGGAAGAGGACGTCGAGAAGGTGGGCGAAGGTACCGAAGAGGGCGAACGACCATCGACTCAAGCCGAGAAAGTCACCGCTAGCAATACGGTGGACGATACCAAAGTCCAGGGGGGTTCGTGTGAGATTAATGCCGTTCATGCAGGATCCGTCGAGATAACCACGACCGGCGAGTCACAAAGCAACAATGTCGCTCCTGCCCCTCAACCCGCCGAGACCCGCTCGCAGGCTGCTACCTCCGAGCACAAGTCCGTCCACCTCTCCACTGCGGGCGTCCTCGTAAAGCTCGCCCAATCGCCCCGCGCAGTGACTGTGATGGTCAACACGGTCATCTACGGGATGGCGTACAGCGCACAAGAGCCGGTGCTTCCGTTGCATATGCAGGCTACCTGGGGCTATAACTCATCCCAGGTCGGTTTGGTCATGATCGCGTGCGTAGTCCCGACCGTCTTCTCTTCTCCGCTCAGCGGGTGGTACGCCGATCGCCATGGCACGGGTACGTCCAGACCCGCCACTGCCGCCTTTCGCAAATTGACCTCTCACGCATCTGGATCTTCGGCCGCAGAATGGATCACATTCTGGTGCGACGTCCTCTCCATCCCGTTCTGGGTGATTCAGATCATTCCCGTCCTCCCGCTCTTCATCACGTCGCTCGCAGTGCAGAGTATGCTCTCGCTCGCTTCTTTGTATCCTCCGCATACCGACGCTGTTCGTCCACCAGGTTTCTTCACTTCCGGGGTCGTCTCACCCTTAACGGCTGAGTTGGCCTCCATCTCTCGCAACATCGATGGTGTCGGATGTAAGCATGAACCGTGTTCTGCATTCAGACTGTCCTGTAACCCGTCTCCCTCAGATGCACATGTGTACGGTGCATTCAACCTATGCTTTGGCCTCGGGTCTGCATTCGGACCGCTGCTCGGCGGCCAAGTGTACGACCACGTCAAGCATGGATGGATGGGTGAGTGACATATCGACGGACAAGGCTAAGCTCGCTTACAGGGACTGTGCTTCGTTTCAGCCGTCTGCCTCATCGCGACCGGCTGTGTGGCCGTCAGCACAGTTCTAGCGGTGCTGTACACCGGAGAAGATACCATCCGTGCCAAATTACGGCGCCGGCTTGCCACTTTCAGGGTTGAATCCTCATCCTCTGATCCTACGATTGTTCAACCATATTGCCAATGAGCATTGATACGATGTAGATTGTGGAACATTAATCTCAGATTTGTTTGCAACGACGACACTATGCACTGTTCCGACTCCTCCCGTAAGGGGAAGAAGTTGGGTTTTCCGTACTGGACTCCGTCGCAGTGACACCCCTGTGGCCCCGCCAAAACGTTGCAGTGCCGTGACGCTTAGCAGGTATGATCGTGCTGCAGCAGCGCGCTTTGGGTCTTCTAGGGGTGACTCTGAGTGTTCGGCGTGTATTGTAGTAGATCGCCCGCTCCCAATGCGTTCGGCGAGCTTCGGCAGGGTATGCGCAACGAGAGCAACGAGAGAGTGGGGATAGGCACAACAGTCCAAGTCGGCGACCCGGTCAGGCATGTAATCGAGGCAGGTTCGTCTTCTTGCTCTCATCGGCATGCCCGGGTCGCTTGTCCTTGCATGGGCATGGATATCGTAGCCAATACGCAGCGTGCAATCTCTTGAGGGCAGTAAGTCTCGCAAGCAGCATATGACGATGTACGAATTTTATGCGATTCTCATAGTGCCAATCCCTTTAGCCATCGTTCTGCCAAAGCCAGTGCCTCCTGCGGTTTATCCTGCGGAGCCTGAAGCACGCCGTCAGAACCTGCTCCAAGAGTATGTACACTGTCACACGTACGTAGTGTCCCGCCCCGTAGATAGTGGCGACTGTCAGTCCTCGGGAATTTCTGGCTTGGCCGGCGATCACCCCGTCAACCGTCCACTCGCGCGGCTCCGCGTTCGCCAGGGCCTCTTTGCCGCTCCACTCCATCGCTCGGGTCCAGCGGTCGTTGCCGACCCAGCTGCACAGCATGTCGTTCGTGCCGGCGTACACGAGCACGCGGATGCCGCGCTCCAACAGGGCGGCGACGTGGAGGTGCGTGGGCTGGTTACGATCCATGGCGGCGTGGAATGCGGATTGGATGGCGTAGTCGCACGGCGCGTAGGGTCCCCGTCGGGCGGGATCGACACCCATGGCTTCTTGGACGTCCGGGCGGGAGAGGTAGCCACGTACGTCCCTGGATGGCAGAATACATGGTGAATGACGGTTGACGGTTTCGCGCGATGGTGGAGGGTATCCTGGGCACTTACTTGTGGGAGTAGTAACAGCCTGTCTCTTCGTATTTGCCTTCGCACTTGCGGCTAAGATCGTAGCCATTAACATCTGAGGTCGGCGTCGTAAGTCGCTATCGTTGAGCGCAATGCAGCGATAAGAGGTGCTACCTGTGGAACGAATCATCTCTGTGATCGAATCATCGCAGAAGTTGAGGGCAGCCGTGCAGCTCATGGCGTCGAGCTGATCGATGCAGGCCGCTTTTGTCCACTGTCGACATCTCGGAACCTGAAGGTTCTTCTATTAACGGAAGGACTGCACCTCCAAGACTAAGTGGTCAGCCTCACTGCTTGCGTCATGCGGACACACGTCCTAGCGACCCAGGCGGTCAGTACGAGCCGCGAGCTGGAGAGTTCATCCCGACGTACGAGATCGGAAGGACCGGCGGGACAGACACGGATGTGCACATCATGTCGTATCGAGCGATGGTAGACTCGTAGATGTCGGTCAGACCATTGCCTGGTAGCTAACTTCAGTGAAGCTCCGGGGGAATCGGATGGATCATGCACACCGAGCATGATGGACGTGAGGTTGATGGGTGTTAAGCCCGCTTCCACAAGCTTGGAATTCATATCGTATATAACAGAACCAAACACTGGCATCATGCGACCCTAAACATCATGTGTGAGGTGAAAGGCCAGGAAACATTAGGGAAGAAGCGCGAACCGCGTACGACTCGCCGGCTAAGTGGAACGCCCTCCCCTGGAACTTACTGAAATTTTCGAAGAAGATGACGAGGAATGCTGCGATATCCGCGCTAGCTTCCTTGGAAGTTTCCTGGAGAGCTCTCATCACTATCCGATGGTTTGGTTTACGCAGCTCTACTGACAACGTATTTTCCGTGATCGGCATAGGACCATCCCGAGCCGACAGGTTGATCGATGAAGATTACATTCGCGACGGCTGAAACGCAGGTATTGCGTCAGCTCGAATGGATACAGGGATTTGTGTGATTCCATGCGTACAGTTCCAGGAGTATTCGTTGTACTCAGTGGCATTCGGGCTTATAACTCGACACGGTCCTGCGCACAAGTAAGTACCTATGTCATCGACTTCGCGAAGTCATAGAAAGACGAACCAAGCTCCGCGAACAATCCCACAGAAGAGCTGCATCTGACATTGCAAGGGAGGAAATGAGACTGGCGCTATCAGTTGAGAGCGCGCAACCTACCCCGGGCCTCCATTTCCCCACAGAACGACGTCGTCAGTATCAGGGTCGTTGCGACTCTACCGGAGGGGTGCAGCCCCGTTCAATTGATAAACCACAGCGTCATCGTGTAGCTATACCTACTTCAAAGAACCAGAAGTATATGTGCTTCACATGCACGTCGATATAGCCCGTGTAGGCACTATAGCAGGGTGATGCGATCAGTGCGTAGCTTTCGATACCCAGATAAAAGCAGGGCCGGTCGGGGCGTCTATCACGCAACTCGTTCACTCACTCAACGCTCCCGTCGCATAACCGCGACTTTTTGACGCGTACCCGATGGTCAGCGAACGCGGGATGTTCAAGCGAGGCGTATCCGTCGTAAGAGAGCGCGTTCAAGGCCCCGAAAGGTTCGAAGGAGCCGTGTTTGAGGATTTGAAGTACGCTCTGGCCGCGTTCATGGACATGACGATCTTGCTCCTTAGCTTGATTTGGGCTCAGAAGAGACAGCAGCCCGAGCGCTGGCCAGAGAGGGCAACGCATACTCAACTAAGGCACCACCGTCGACGGCGTTGAATCAGGGAAAGTTCGTGACTCGGAAATGCGCAGTAACTTGAAGGGCCCAATGTAAGGTCCGTTATAACCGAGTGTTGTCATCGCTTCCTCTGAACGATGGCCGGTTCAATAAACGGTATCATTGGCGGATGCTGCTCGTTATGTTGACGTTGAAGCACCAAAGGCCCGAGTGACGAGGCCTCCTACCGATGTAAGTTGTTTGACGTAATGCGTCTCCGCCTTTACCGGAGCTACTCCGGCTCGTCCACTGTCGTGACTGGCGCTGAGTGGAAGCATCTTGCACGGGAAATCATACCTTTTGCTATCGACACCCCGACTCCTGTGTACGCTCTCATTACCGGAATTCGGAGAGACCGATCTCTGGAGCAGTAAGGGTCATCATACAGGACTCGGCGGGACTTGGCTTGTAATCTTGCATACATTTCGTCAACGAGCACTTGAAGGTATGCCAAGTTGGTTCCGAGGTACTTTTGATCTCTGATGAGATCCATAAGCCTTTGTGCGCTCTTGAATGGTCACAATGCCCTCAGTGTTCGACTTGCTCAGTTTACCAACGACATCCAAGGGTTTCAGCGCACTCCCGCCCCCAGAAAGCAATGCTCTGGCGTCCCCGGTGTACAAGAAGGCACGCCTCGACGCCGACGCTGAAGCCCGCGCTACCGATCTGAACAGGGGCCCTATCGTCATCAAGCTCAGGCTTCCAGGTGTGCCGTCTTGCACCTACTTTCTTCTCATCATCACTCATCGAACATGCACGCGAATCAGAGAAACCTGACCCTGAAGCGCATGTCAATAAGACCAAGCAGAGCATGGGAGCATGCCTCCGTGCGGCACTCGATCCGCAGGATAAGCTCCCCTTGCCGGATCTCCCTCTGTCCTATGAGGGGTTCTACGCCGGCTGCCGGTATGTGGTGACCGACGCCGAACAAGGAGAATATGTATACGGTGCGGTGAAGCTAGAGCTGGAGAGGTGCATTGGGAAGCTGGCGAATGAGTTAAAAAACGAGAAGATCGACGCTGTAGCGTGGATTGTGCCGTTCAACAGGGCTTGTGACTGGTTCCAGAAACGAGTCGTGAGCTCAGCAATCTCACCGGGGACACTTGAAATAAGGCTGATCGCAGTGTAGGTTCTACTTGAGTCACTTCTCACCTATCTTGACAAGGAGTACGTGCTCAAATACCCAAAGTTCAGTTCAATCCAGTATGTGATCTCGCTCATACGCTATGACGCCATACATCTCATGAGTGATCAATAGCGACCTTGCCTTTGAGCTCTTTTCAGCCGGGATCTTCGGTGACACAATAATCTTCACCAAGATACAGGACGGTTTACGAAATTGGGTCAATCATGAGCGAACAATGAGGTCCGTGCCGAATATTACTGGCCAGATGCCATTACTCAGCCCTGCACGTTACTAGAGCCGAACATAAATTGCGCTCTGAGATTCCTGCTCTGTTGGGACATCTTAGCACCCACGACTACTATGATACGTTCGAGTCGTACTTGATCGAGGTCACCCGCGACTTCTACTCCGCCGAGGCCGACCGACTTGCTGTTGAACTGAAGGACAAGGCGATGGAGTACGTGCTGAAAGTCGAAGAGCGGATCGCGGAAGAGGAGAAAAGGGGCGAGGAAGTGTTACTCCCGCAGAGCAGGGGCGAGTTCAAGAAAGCAACGGAACGAGCGTTCTTGCTGGGAAGGCTGGAATGGATCGCTACGGATGGTGAGTGCATTCGAGTTCCAGTATATTACCGTGGAGCATTAGTTGATGATTTGACCTAGCACTGGCACAATGCTTGAAGGAAAGAAACGGCAATCAGATTGCAGGGATGTATGCCCGCTTCGCGCGCGTGGACGGTTTGAAGATACTGTGTGTTGCGTTCAAAGCGCATGTCCAGGTGCGCTGACATTGTCCACCGATATATGGCACGTGCATATCATTGACCATGTCTCCATAGGACGCGGTGCAGAGAATCGTCCTTGACACAGAGCATGACGCGGATATGGTGCCGAAACTCGTTGCTCTACATGGTTTCTGCAAGAAGCTCCTGGAAGACGCTTTTGTGGATTATACCTCTCCTTCTACGGGCACTTCCGACGCGCCGCCCATGAAGCGCATGAATCGCGCCTTCTTCGATGCCTTGAAAGACGCGTTCGGCTCTGGCTTCAAGGCGCGCCGGTCGAAGCCGGCGGAGATGATCGCCAAGGAGCTCGACAAGGCGATGAAGCGCGGCAAGAAGGACATGACCGAGCAGGATTTCGAGCGGAACGTCGAGGAGGTGCTAGAGCTGTGCAGATACACGGACGACAAGGACGTCTTCCGCGCGTTCTACCAGAGGGCGCTGGCGAAGCGGCTGCTGCTCGCCCGGAGCGCGAGCGACGATGATGAGAAGAGGATACTGAAGAAATTGCAGACGGGTGAGCAGTTCAGTGATTACTTTGCGTCGATTCTGACGATAGATGCACAGATTATGATCCCGAGTTCAGCATGGGTGATCACATGTTCAAAGATCTTGCTCTCTCGAAGGACCTGTACGAGGAGTACCTGAAGTCACTCACTGGCCAGGCGGATCCTTCAGCACGCGACCTTTTCGTTACTGTCATCCAGCGCAGCTCATGGCCATTCACGGCGCGGACCAAGGACGCCGTTTTGCCGACCAGGGTAACTCGCCTTTTCGTCCTGTATCACGGTCCAGGTTCTTATCCTATGATCGCGCAGATGCAGGAATCATTGGAGGGTTATCTTACGTTCTACAAGAACAAGCATAAGAACCAAAAGCTTGATTTCGACCACGCTCTCGGCACTGCGACAATGACGGCACGGTTCGACAAGGGGAAGAAGGAACTTACCCTCACCCTCTACCAAGCCATCGTCCTCCTGCTATTTAACGATGAAACCGAGCTTAGCTATGAGCGCATTCGAGATTCAACGGCCATGGGTCAGTGACTATCCACATGGACCGTAACACCGCAGTTGACATGCTCGTGTACAGACCCGACGGAGCTGAAGCGTGTGTTGCAAAGTTTGGCGTGCGGGAAGAAGAAAGTGCTCTTGAAGGTTCCGCCTAGCAGAGACGTAGGAGACAAGGACGTGTTCCGCTACAATGGCGAGTTCACCGACCCGAAACACAAGGTCCACATCAGCAGCATCCTGGCGCAGGACACGGTGGGTGGTCCTTGCCATTTCTCATCTGAGCGACAGTTGATGGAGACATACTGTTGTAGCCCGAAGAGTCAAAGCGCACCCAAAAGGCCATCGAAGGCGAACGTCGTTACATCATTGACGCTGCGATTGTGCGCATCATGAAGGCGCGCAAGAAGGTGAAATACGAGCAGCTAGTGACGGCCACCGTCGACGCGGTCAAGAACCATTTCCTCCCTGACGTGGTCGACGTGAAAAAGAGGATCGAGGGGCTGGTGGAGGAGGAGTATATGCGTCGCGACGAGCACGATAGGCATATGTTCCATTACATTGCATAAAACTTCTCCGGTGTATGTCCTGTACGTTACTATGTACCAAGAGATGGCCACGAGTTGAAATCTATGGTCATGGAACCCTCGATCAAATCAACCTCGTTAATTAGTAACATCACCCCAGGGGTGCAGGCTGACTGGCAATAGAACAGAATGTGATTAATGCACAGCGACAAATAGCAAAGAGCACATAATGATATGAGGAATTGGACGGATTCCTGAAATGTGGGCATGTCTACCATCTAGGGGTCTAGACTACTAGACGTATGCAGACCTCCTCACTGGTCCCAGTCTAGATCTACGAAATGAAACGTGCGTCTGAGTAGATCAAAGCATTCGCTCGATCATGAGCGGGTGAATTAAGGTGCGGGGTGAACGGTACCCCAGGCCTTCTTCAGTTGCTGGAGGGTGACGTCAGAGTAGAGCGCGACAGGATTTGTTATAGTTAACTCACCTCGAAGAACACGAACAGCAGGACTGTCTGTGGGCCGAGACGTATGAAAGCAGGAGTCCAGCCCTTGAAGAGAAACATGGGCCCTTCTTCTCGTAGAGACCGGGTAAATAGCAATATGGGGTTGTGCGTGTCGTTCTGCGGAGTTGACGTGAGATGTGATCAGCTACAGCCATGTAAAAGTGCGCACCGAAGACATTATGCGCGACTTCATGACATCGGCAGGGGAGCAAATAGCTGCGCAGCATGATCAATAATGTCATCACAGAAAGGAAACCAGGGTATGGACGCACTGGTAGCGACAGTACCAGATAAACAACTGGACACCATGTGAAGAACTAGATTGTCCTGGAAATGATAGTCGACGCCCGGTACTTGCGAACCCAGAAGCCTCGATTTGAAGAGGTCATATCTAAGGGTGCCGAATTGGTATATTTGCCCAGAAGATTGTAGACACGAACTCACGACCCGACCTGCGAAGCCTGCCGTAATGTCTGGGTTAGCGGCATATGGATGGTGAACACATGAACATACATTCATCAGGATAGCCCTGATCTGTACATGCAATCAGTGATGCGGATTTTGGACCGACATTGGTATTTACCGTGTTCGCCTCTAAACCTCGGACCAGCCCTCGCAAACCTTCCTCTCTGACGAGGCTCACTAGTCCCGTGACCGCGTTGGGGTAACCATAGCGCTTCTCTGGCGGTCTGATGGAATCGCTAGTCATTCGCACCAGAAGGATATCTACGCCGAATGGGGCTTAGCTTATCAGACTTTAGATTAAAGTTGACGAACCGGCCGGGTTGCCAGCGATTCCCCCTAGCCCGCCGCAGACAGCTGCCGCCGCCAGCAGCTTGCCAGAGGACGGCTTGCCCTTCTCTGATAGCTTCTGCTTCGCCTTCTCGTAAGTCCCTATCCTGACCAGGGAATACGACATTTGCCGCATGATGGCGGCGGAGAGGCCGGTGAACAGGCTTCGTACGCCGTCCTTCGCTATGGTCCTTTGCAAGACGTGCAACATGGAGGGGTGTGCTCCGGGTGCCGATTCAACGGTCTGCATGCGGACCTTCGTGAGGTCCAAAGGGTGTGTGCATGCCGCGGCCACTGCAGAGTGTATTAGAGGGGGGTTATACGGAGGCAATCTGCAACGCACTGGAGGCGGCTACACCTGGTAGCATATGACATATGAGTACAGATAGCTGAGCGGGGTTGCATGGACGGACCTCCTAGCCTGAAAATACGGTTTAGAGCGCTAACAACCGCCGGAGAGATAGCAGTGCTTACCAGAACGGATATGAGGACATGTTGAAGCCAGGGGAATGGGGCTCAACGTCCCGGCCCCTTATATATCGGCTGCCCGTCGGCAATGTAGATGCCACGGGTTATCAAGAAGTACGCGTGTGCGTGCCGGCAGCACGAACACGGACGGCGTCTGCACCGATGGCTGAACGATATGGGAACAGGCGTCCAGTAGACTGGCAGTCAAAGGGAACCTATCTCGAGTGTAACGCGCTCGACGGAGCGTGCAGCGTACAGGACGGCTTTAGGCGCGTCGGAAAGTTTGCGGCCAATGAAAGGGCCGGACCCGCGGGAACGACCAGCACCGCGCGTCTTGCTTCCAACCACCGCCTCGCGCCCACCGTCTCACTTTGCTCTCCACAACTTGACTCTCGCGTCTACATCTCACGGCCAACATGAGCGCTAACGACAACGAGGAACTCATCGACTACGAGGACGAGGCTGACGTCGGAACCGGCGCGGTCGCATCCAACGGTGTCGCGGTGGCTGGCGCTACGGCCGACGGGGACGACAAGGACAAGAAAAACTTCTCTGGCATCCACTCAACGGGCTTCCGGTACGCTACTGAGCTCAGCTATCTCGTAAAAACGTGGCTAACCTTCTTCCGTAGTGACTTCTTGTTAAAGCCGGAGCTGCTACGCGCCATCAGTGACCTCGGTTTCGAACACCCCTCCGAAGGTTAGTGCCCTCGAACGACGTCTTTGGACCCTACAATGACATGGCTGTGTTGTCTCCAGTGCAGCAAGAATGTATTCCGCAAGCGGTGCTCGGCATGGACGTGCTGTGCCAGGCCAAGTCTGGTCACGGAAAGACCGCTGTGTTCGTTCTGGCGACGCTCCAACAGCTGGAGCCCGTCAACGGCCAGGTCTCCGTGCTCGTGCTCTGCCACACCCGCGAGCTCGCGTTCCAGATCAAGAACGAGTACGCGCGGTTCGCGAAGTACATGCCCGACGTCCGTGTCGCGACATTCTTCGGCGGTGTCCCCGTCACCAAGGATGCCGAGACCCTGCGCGATAAGGCCAAGTGCCCGCACATCGTCGTCGCTACCCCCGGCCGCCTCAACGCGCTCGTGAGAGACAAGACCCTCGACGCCAAAAACGTCAAGCACTTCGTTCTGGACGAATGCGACAAAATGCTTGAACAGCTCGGTTAGTCATATCGGCCCCTCGACTCTTTATCTTCGTCGTGGTGGCACCGTTCTCCTCGGTGGCGCACCTTTTGGCGTTGGCGGTGTCTCTGGCCTCTCGCTGTGATCAAGCACGCTCCTCGACACGCGATGATTCTCCAAGTCTACAACTGGCCGATTGAGCTGTTGGGTTGGGTAACTCATGCGTATGGGAACGGCTGCTCGCGGTGGAGCTGTGGGAGACGGATGGGCAGAGATGCGTGGAGGAGCACACCGTCGTGAAAAGATGAAGACGAAGTCGGGCTTTTGAGCCGCAAGCACCCGCGACACGAAGCCACCCCGCTTGGACGCAGCGTTGCGAAGCTTCGAACGTCTATCGCCCTCGTTTACCTTCTTTATTTTCTTGGCGCTCCGATGTGGTACTCGGTTCTTACCCTCGCCACGCTCCCATAGACATGCGCCGAGACGTCCAAGAAATCTTCCGCGCCACGCCCCACCACAAGCAAGTCATGATGTTCAGCGCGACCCTCTCGAAGGAAATCCGTGTCACGTGCAAGAAGTTCATGGCGAACGTAGGTTTCATTCGCTGTGTTCGTAGCTCAAGGCTAACATCGATGTATTCCACAGCCGCTCGAAATCTTCGTCGATGATGAGACGAAGCTGACCCTCCACGGTCTTCAGCAACATTACGTCAAGCTGGAGGAGAACCAGAAGAATCGAAAGCTCAACGAGCTTCTGGACACCCTCGAGTTCAACCAGGTAGGCTCGAGAATCATGCGCTCATCCTTCCGATCTGAACTACTCCTGTCAGGTCGTCATCTTCGTCAAGTCGGTAGCTCGCTGCATAGAACTCGACAAGCTACTTGTCTCGTGCAATTTTCCGAGCATCAGTATTCACTCGGGTCTTGACCAGGTCGAACGGTTGGTTTGTCCACGTGTGTGCGTCGGCTCTTGCTAATGGCGACTTCGATGCAGTATCAATCGCTACACCGCCTTCAAGGCGTTCGAGAAGCGAATCCTCGTCGCCACGGATATCTTTGGACGTGGTATCGATGTCGAGCGAGTTAACATCGTTATCAACTACGACTCGCCTGCGGATGCCGACAGTTATCTCCATCGTGTGGGGTAGGTGTATGATGTGATCCTTGGCGCTTTCGTCTGACCAATCCTTTCCCCAGTCGTGCCGGCCGTTTCGGTACCAAGGGTCTCGCGATTACTTTCGTTTCATCAGAAAGTGATACGCAGGTCATGGCGGCCATCCAATCGAGGTTCGAGGTGGCCGTGCCTGAGTTGCCTGACCACATCGACCCCGCCAGCTACAGTGGGTGTTTCCCCCCCTTTCCTGCCCTCATTTCCGCTCACATGCTTTGCCCCAGTGACCTCGTAATGATCTTGGCCGTACATAAGTCCCCGAATCTTGCGCCGTCTCATATCCCCCAGCGCATTCTCCCGCTGTTGCCTGTGCCTGTGTACACATACCTGACACGTATCGATGTTTTTTCGGATGGCCCATGTGAAACCGCGGGTGGCGGCGGCGTCATGCCGCACGCGAGGAAGGCCGCGGAGATTTCCACGATCACAAAACGTGGTTGCACGGTCAGTTGGACTCAGTTGGTCGGGCTTACCCGAGGCTCAGGCGACGGCGCTGGACGACCCCAGGGTCTGGACCTGCTATGACGTACATGCACCGGTAAACGAAAGTAAGGTCTGCGTGAGAGAAAATAAGGGCACGCATACGGCATGTGAGGGGATCGGACTTGACGCGGGCTAATTGCTCTCCGTAACCTAACTCGTTCCCCGGGAGAACAGACTATCCCGCATCACACAATCTACTCAACCTACACCGGAAACCTTGCATGCTGGCCTCCTCTTGATTTCTCTTCTCTCTTACAAGTTTCCGTAGACCAGCTACGACTCCGCACGGCATGCCCCGCAAGGTGGTGCAGGCTGCTATACCCAATTTGTACTTTCGGGATGGGATACTTTCGATACCGGGCTATACGTTCGAGAGGGTGAGCCAATACGCGTGGTGGGTAACGGTGTGGGCAGGGTTGGAGTTGATTTCGCGATCATCCAGGCGGTTCCGTGGGCCGATACGGGGTCTATGACCTTGCTCGTCGAAGGGAGCAGCCTGAAGGATGGATCGAACGTGTTAGCGAAGGTCGCGCCCGCGCACTCGAATGGATCCATGTTCATCGAACGTGAAGCTCACATGTACGTCGCGCGGCCTTCCCCCCGCTTCACGTTTTCCAAGGGACGAAAGTCCGTTAACCGCCCGTCGTTACCTTCATCAGCCTCGAGCGCTTAGCGTCGAGTTCGGAGGCGATGAGCACGGCGCTGAGGATGATTGATTTCTACACTATACCCCGCGCGCAAGGCGACTGCGTCGTGCTCTTGCTCGTCCACCCCGGTTTGAATTCGCTTGGACGCTATTTCCCTCCGTGAGCATTTGCCGTGCCGGTTTCACTAGTCGTCGACGCTCGTTTAAGTTTGATGTCTGTCTGACAGGTCAAAGGTCAACGACCTCTTGCTTGCTGATGCGTCGCGCGTACGGCCGTCGTCTTCCCGCCATGATATCTACATGTTGGGCCTCGAAGAGGCGGAACAGATCCCCGAAGAAAACGAGGCTTTCGAGATCATGGACCTCGCTACGTTTCTCGAGTACGCCGAGCCGCATTTTCCTCCTTCGGCATCGATGGTGACAGCTTGATCCTCCCACCAGGTTTGCCATCCAAGCCACGCATTGTCTCGAGATGATTCATAAGTAAGAAAAGGGCTCGTCATAGAACTATATATAGACCAATTGACTCACCCGGCCTCTTCTCTGTTCGCAGAGTCGGCATCACGCATCGCGAAGGTACGAAGGACAGCTTTTTCTCAACGAGTATTCGCCGGGTATTGACGTCAGGGCCGCCGGCGGCGGCTTGCCAGTTCGTGCCAATGCATTCCACGTTAACGTTCATACCGGACTCGTTCGATTGTGCCACTTCGGCAATCGATCTGTATCGCTCGAGCAGTACGGGGGCCCGTCGGAGCTCGTCATCCGGTCGGAAGCGATGGACGAGGCCGAGAAGCTCAAGGTTAAGGAGGCTATATGCTATATGGCGCCAGAGCAGACCGGGAGCGTCGAGACGACAACTGAGGACAATAGGGTGATAAAATCCCGAAATTTTCTTCAAGGTGAATATACGATGCTTACCATCCTCCGAAGACGGACCTATATTCCCTGGGTGTTATGTTTTGGACGTTACTCGTTGGCAGAGGGACACTTCCGTTCGAAGGTCCTCCTGTAGAGCTCCTACACGCTGTCGTGCAGAAGCGCCCGATGCCTGTCCACGAAGTCCGGAGGGACTTACCTCAAGTCCTCGCTGTCATCGTTGGCAAAGTAAGTTGTGATCGCTCCGGAGGGCCCACGCCGATATGAACTCTTTTCTCTAGTTACTAGCCAAGTGCCCGGAGCAAAGGTACCAAAGCGCTTGTGGTCTGAAGGAAGACCTGTTGGAGTGTCAGAGAAGGCTGTTGGCTGCGGTATCTGCCGGCTCGGAGCACCAGCATGCCGTGGAGGTTTGTCTGCGCCTTCTTATCTTGATCCCGTTCTTTAACCGATCTTGCTGCAGTTGATAGCACCGTTCGAAATTGCCCAGCGAGAGCGATACATCGCTTTTACCCTCCCGACTGCGTTGATTGGGCGCGATAAGGAGCTAGAGACACTGCGCAATGTCATACGACACATGGCCACCAGTTACTCCCGCTATGTGGGAGCCGCGAACCGGACCATCAACCTCACATCGCAGGGGTCGAACCACGACAATGGGACAGGCAGCGGTGGACACGACGACGCGGACTCCATCTCGTCTCGCAGCGACGCGTCGCAGAACCATCCGCCGTCCTCCGCCGCAGATGTCACGTCGGCGGTGATAACCGCCAGGAAGTCGCCCTCGCCGTCTAGGGATATGGTCAGCAATCCCGCGACGGCTACTAGTACCACTGCGAATACGTCGGCGAGCATGGCGTCAGTCACTCCACCGGCTGATGGTCTACGAAGGCTCGCGGCACTCGCGCCGAAGAGTCGGAAGTATGGGGCCCGCGCTGTGATTGTGATGGGAGAGCCCGGGTTAGTCTTCGTTGCCTATCCTGTTCCACGCGACAACCGCTCACGCAGGATGCAGAGCCGGGAAGAGTTCTCTTATTCTGGCGAATCAGGCGAAATGGCGAGGTTGGACCAACAGTTTCCTCAACGATGTAATACGCAACTGACTTTTTCAACGTCAGCACACGGACTATGGGGGCATGCGAAGTTTCAAGCGAGTAGCTCTACGCCATTCTCGGCGTTACTATCTTGCCTGTCTTCGATCTTGCGACAGCTCCTCGTCTTCAGCAGCGACCTGTATCGGTTCGTCACGCACCTCAAAGTCAAGCTCGGGCCGCAGCTGCAGAATATGCCCCTCCTGTATTCGGGCGTCCCGGAGCTGAGGTACATCCTCCGGCTGTACGACCTCGAGTTCGACACGCCACGTGAAGAACTCGCGGGCCAGGAATTGCGGGCGAGGTTTCAGGCGTTGTTCACCGAGGTCTTCTCCGTCGTGGCGGACACTCGTTTGCTGGCCATTTTTCTGGACGACATCCACGAGGCAGATGATTCGTACGTTCTTGTGGCTATGCTCGACCTTGTCAATCCACTTATTTTCTGCTGCCAGCTCTTTGGAATTGATCGGAACCCTGATGAACTCTCGTAGTCGCTTGGTACTGTTTTTAAGCATTTACCTCCGTAAATAACCATTGACCCCCTAACGATAGTTGGTCTTGACCACGCTCCGGACCGATCAATCGTGAGTTGTAGCGCTTTCCTGCACTTTGATTGCTGCTTCGATCGACGTTGAATTGCGATCTAGTGCTACGGTGGAGAAAGTCAGAGAGCTCTTTAGCAGTCGTTCAAGGGTCACATGGATTCAACTGGAACCTCTGTCCTATTCAGCAATCGCCACGTTAGTTGCGAGGACGCTACACCGCCCGCTGGACGAGTGCTCCCCGTTGTCGCGCTTGATACATTCCATATCGCATGGAAACGCGTTCTCTGCTCGGTGAGTCTCATTCAATCGACGACATGTCAGAATCCAAGTGACATATTCGTTTTGTCGCAGAAACCTCCTACTCACACTATTCAGACAACATCACGTACGTTCTGTCCGCCCGGCATTGATCTCATCGTCTGCTTACATGTTTTGCAGATCACGTACGATTCGGATCGTAATCACTGGAAGTGCGTCGATGAGGCCGCCAAGATGTCTTCTGCAGGCACTAACCCTAACGTTTGAATCGCAGGTTCGACTATAGTACGATAGAAGCCAGCTTCCTCAGCAAGGACATTGCTGTAGACCCATCTGACCCCGAGTTTCTTTCCGCGCACTTCAACGAGATGTCAGCGGATGCCCGGCGATTCATCATATGGGCAGCCCTCTTTGGATCATCGTGAGCACAAGGCATGATCAATCCAGGAGATACATACTGAGAGAATCAAAAGTTTCAAGATCACCGAGGTTGCGTTCATGGTCGACTGGGAAGATTCTTCGGGCTCAAGTGGGAGCGGCGAGGAGACCGATGATTGGAATCTTTCGCAAGCTTTGACGTCTTCGCACGGCAATGCTAGTGCGGTTTCGATGCGGGGGCTTCACGAAGCCTTGTCCGCTGGTTGGCTTGTGCAGCGAGCCAGAGACATGTGCGCGTTCGCTCACGACAGATATCGGCAAGCTGCCGAGGCCGAGGCTGCCAAACTCCCCGCGGAGGTAACCGAGAAGATGTCATTCAGGGTGAGTGCTCATGTCCTTCGGGCTTAGTTGATTAGTTCTAGCTGACCTCTTCCGTGTAGATAGTGTTGATGATGCTCCACGACGCATCCCCTGATATTTTCCGCGTGGCAGAGCATGCCAAGCGCTGTCTCCAGTTGATTAGGGAACACGAGGGCAAGCGAGATGAACTCTTGACGTTGCTGCTGGATGCAGGTGATTCGGCCTTCGCGCGTGGTGCCCACGAGGTAGGCCCCTGCCAGCCTCTTACGGAACTTCAGTAACGCTCTGCAGACCGCGTTGGAAATCATGCAAAACGCGAAGGCTCTCCTGCCAGACAATTCCTGGGAGGTAGACTTCGCGCGGACACTTGCAGTTTGCACCAAGATTGCCGAGTTCGTACATTTCATCCTGGTGTTGCCATACGTCACTAAACCTTGCATAACAGTCTTATGACGTGGAAAGGTACTCTTCCCGTTCATTCTACTAGACCGAGGCCTAAAAGCCTAATCGACATGTTAGGGCTCTATCCCGAATCGGATGCTGACCTTGACGTGAGTTATGACATCAATCGGATGACATCCTATGGCTAATTAAATGTATAGGATTGCTTCCCGCATGCGGTTCACCCGGAAGATAAAGCGAAGATCCTTCGGCTGAAATCCCGTAATCACTGGGCGCGGAACGACTATGTGTCGGGTCTGCGTACGATACTCCATGCGCTGCATATCCTCGACATCGAAAGTGAGCACATAGTGAATCCGTCTCGTTCACGTCTGACCAGAAGTGGTCAGTCGATTCGTCCCCATCGCGCGAAGCGGCAGATACAATGTTTGAAAACGTCAGAAACGACATACTTGCGATCGGATTTGATGATAGTATGTACTCTATGTGCTCTGCAGACGCCTGTAGCTCAATCTAGGTCTAGTTCTTGCAATACCTCGTGCGACGGACCCTGCGGTGGACTTGGCCGTTTCCCTCCTCGGAGAGGCAGGTCAGGATAGTCGATTATATATCCTCCCGCAGTGCTGATAGATATGCTCGGCTTTAGGTGCTCATGCCTACTGGAGTTTCGCAGAGGGCTTCTTGGATGTCGTTGGCTTGACCGTGTGTCGTGGTATCTCAGGATCTAGCTGTAGATGCTAACGTTCTTGCTGCAGGTGATCCAGCTTGCGCTCAGGTTCGTGCTTAAGTGTGGGCAAAGACACTACGCATCTGATGCGGCTATGTCAACAGATCGGGTATATCACCTGGGACATCACTAGGATTCTTTTGGTCGCTCTCTGGTTCGTGCCATGTGAGATTCAACATCGCTCTGACCGACCCGTGGCTAGCCTGCGGGGAACGACGAGATCTTTATCGGTTTTCGTGTGACCTGGCCAATCTCGGCTTGCAAATCGCCGATCGATATGGAGGTAATTACGAGAAATGGTGCGGGCGGTTACTCGCGTTCCCGTTGACATTGACATACGTTCCTCAACAGTCGGTGTCGAACCCTATATGTCGCGATGGTGGCCGGATTCGGTCCGACACACCTGCGTACGGTTCTGCCTCGCCTGGAGGAGGCAGTCAAACTTGGTTACAGCGCTGGTGATCGGTTAGTAACATGCAGGGTCCTGAACCTACCTGACCGTTCGCAGAGCATATACGGCATTTTCTGCCCTCCACGTTATACAGACTAGACTATATTTGGGGCATCATAGTCAGTACTCGTCGATAGAGCTTGGACTTACCATTAACACGAAGTGGGAACCTAGTGGCTGACCTCGTACCTGCTGCGGAAGAGGTCGTTTCACCCCCTTATTTTACGTCCTCCCACTGATGTGCTCTCTCTAGACCACCAGGGACATAGCGTTCTGGACGGGTAGCCACGCGGACGCCAATATACTGGCACAGGGTTTGTTTCCTCTGTATCGGGGCTAAAATGGTTCTGATTAGCGTCATATAGGAACCTTAAACTGCATTCGTGCGCTTGCAGGCTACACCTATGGCCGGAAGGCTGCCAGCGCGTTTGACACGGACGATTTCAAGGAGAGCGATTTCCTCGCATCTGCAACGGAACAATGTGGAAATATCTCTCTTGCCCTGCAATGGTGCGTCGTGCCGATCCCGGATATGGCTTTGAAGCGTGCTAATGATCTTCCAGGTACAACTCTATGAAGGTGACTTACCGAAGGTGGAAATGGAGCGTACATTTGGCTGATCGGGCATTCGCAGGTTGTTGGTCTGTATTGCTTGGGACATATGCAAGAAGCTGCCGACCTCGGTTTCTCTGTATACCGAGACCGCAATCTTCATCCCAAGTAATGGACACCACTAATTTCGTTATACGTCGTGATTAACTCTTGCGTTTCAGTCATCGTCACACTCGGTACAGCCTATTCTTTCACAGCTTAGCATTAATCGCCTGTGTCCGCCGAGAACAACTTCCAGAGGAACAGCGTGCACAATATCTCACGCAGGTCGACGCAAACCAGGCATATATCAAGAAGTTCGTGCCCCTCATGCCATCGCCCCGTTTGATAAGGCTGCTCAAGCGGAATGCAGGTGGTTACCCCCAAGTCCTGTAAACTGTGCGGCATGGGTTGCTCTAGTCGTTGGTAATACGGTTGTTGCTCTATGCTCGAACTCATAGTGAATCTAGGAAGCGGAGCTTGCGTCTTTGTTCAACAGCACGGACGCATTCCGGCTGTATGACCAGGCAGTGAAGTGAGTACTGTCGTCCACAGAGTCTTGATGGCATTATTGATGCGATCACGATCAGATTAGCAATGGACACTGATTGGCCACTGGAGGAAGGCTGGGCGCTGTACCTCGTGAGTTCTGCACAGTGACATCAGAGTTATTATTCACAGCGCAGGCTGCAGCAAGGCTGTCATTTCGTTCAAAGTGGTGTTGAGGGTCTGGGCACCGAGCTCAAACGACGAGGTATGGCGCGACATGCGCAAGCGGGATGTGTACGTATTTTCCTCGTGTGCCAATCTTCACGCGCATATCTACTCATGACGTGCATATTCGCAGAGAGGAATCGTGTAAGCAATGAACATCGCTCGCCACTTGTTGGTATCTGATGATCTCGTTGTTCTGCATGCAGAGCCTACCTTTCCTCATCCGCTGGGGACGAACCGGGTACTCCATCGTCGTCGAAGCGCTCCGTATTCACACGAGAGGTTTCTGTACAAACCGAGAGTGCTTACATCCCTGCGAGCCCACAGACCATCGAGGGGTCCAAAGGTGACGCTGGCGAGGACGATGGTATTGGATCTTTGTCTGCTCAAGACCTGGCTTCAATTCTCAAATGGAGTAAAGACATATCAAGCGACATCAACTTACCTTCTGGTCTGTGCCATCAACCCGACTCTTCGTCGACCGCTCACATCCCCGTCAGCCCTTCAGCGGATGACGGAAATAGTGTCCGGTGAGATTGGGTCAGCCACTTTTCTGCGCGCTATTAATCCTTCCTACCAGAGTGTTCTGGCGCCCAATTCGCATGCATTGTTATCGCGAGGGAGGCAGGGGATTTCACAGGTGTGCCAACTTACTCCGTGGCACAAGATGGTCCTTGAAATTTTTCTCAGTCGCTACTACAATATCACCCCCCGAGTTGTGTCAAGTATACGAGTAAGCATCAGGCGCGCAGAGATGCGTCAACAATCTAAATACTCGGCAGGAATCCGCAGCCAGTGCGGTCGATCGGGGATCCATTACGCAAAGCCGTTATCCAGCACGGTATGTTGCCTCTTGTATATTTTTTCACTGGACCTCACCTCTCGCAGCTTTGCAAGGCAAGGAACGTTTATATACGCAGGATGCCTCAGAAGACCCACGTTTCGCCGCTGAAGCCTACCACAGTCCCGATCGCGCTATAATCTGTCTCCCTATACAGAGCAATCGTGGTCAAACCTTTGGAACGATCTATGTTGCATCTAGATACACCTTTTCGCAGAATACCTTCAATCTCCTGGCTCTATTTTCTGAGCAGGCCAGCATCAGCGTTGCCAATGCCCTCCTGTTTCGTTCTGTGCAAGCTGGGACACGGGAGAACCTCAAGATGATTGCGACGCAACGAGACGCACTTGATGCCGCTCGTCGGAGTCGGGAGGACGCCCTGAAGGCAACGAAGATCAAGAGCAATTTCCTTGCGTTCGTTCTGACTCGCTCTCTATGTGTTCTCGTTGATGACATGTCTGCATTCCGGTAGCTCGATGAGTCACGAACTGCGCACTCCGTTCAGGTCAGCGAAAAATCAAACCGTCCTGAACAATCCTTATCTCACAGATAATAGCTCTTTCTACGGACTCCTGGATATCTTAGACGGCACGGAATTAGCCCCCGCTCAAAGAGAAATTGGTAAGCTGGTACTTACTGCGGAACCTCAATCTTTGCCGACGAGCTATGGTCTGTTAGTCCAAACCGCAAAACAGTCGTGTGATCTTCTGCTGAAGGTAACTGACCGCACTGCGCTCCAATGTATCTCCTAACTCTGAATTTCCCTTAGATCATCGACTCCATCCTAGATTATAGCAAACTGGAAGCGTCAGGTGCGGCTTGACTGCGGTATGAATGGAGTGCAGTATTTGATTGCCAGCGCAGCATTGAAGCTTGATCCTCGCGGCTTCCCTGTCGAAAATCTAGTGGCTGATTGTCTAGAGCTTCTTCTGCCTAGCGCCGCAAAGAAACTCGACCTGTCTTTCAATATCGAGCCGGATGTACCCCCATGTGAGCCCTCTACGCTCGAAGAGTTGCTTCATCCGTGACTAAGATGTACGACAGGGGTAAAAGCCGACGATGCTCGGATTCGACAAGGTCAGCCCCAACGCACTCGAAATTAGCCCGATGATGACCGCGGTGCCTCAGTACTGATGAACCTTATTGGAAATGCCGTCAAATTCACCCCCAGTGGCTCCGTCAAAGTTACATGCTCTGTCGACCCTACCCCTCTGCCAACTACAACTGACGTGGTCCTGAGATTCACGATACAGTTGAGGACTTCTATGATTCCGTGCTTTCGCTTGAGTTGATTGATACTGACTCGCTTATCAGGGACACTGGGATTGGACTCTCGTCCAGCGACGCTGAATTGCTATTCAAACCCTTTCAGCAAGCCGATAACTCTTCCACACGGAAATTCGGCGGTACAGGCCTTGGTACGTCGCATGATCTGTCGCGCGAAGGATGCGGTTATAGATGGTCGTAGGGTTATCCATTTCCCGCCAACTGGTCAAGCTGCAAGGAGGGGCTATTGGCGTGCAATCTGAAGCTGGCAAAGGATCGACCTTTTGGTTCACAATTCCAATCACCGTATTTGAGTCTGAGGAGTCGAGAAAGGTGGTGTACATCGGCTTTTCTTTGTATAGCTGCAGTGCTTGATCTTTGCTCTCATAGATGCTCGCTGATCTGGAGGCATTGAGGATGCAACTAGTTCAGCCCCATCCACCGAGAGTCCTCATTAGTTCATCATCTGAAGCTACCCGGGCACATCTGAGCACGCTTCTGAGCGGCTTTTTCATCTCAACTGTAGAGTCAACTGAGGAAGCAGCTGTGCAGCTGTCGGACCGCAGCATTAATCATCCGACCCTGGATTTCGTCATACTAGACGAGCAATCAGACAAAGTAGTGGATGATCTGGCATTGCTGCTCGGATCTCAACGAAGCGGACCATTCCAGGATACCAAGATCATACATTTGTATACGCCGACAGCGGCAAGCATCGCTGGCTCGTTTCAAGCTACTACGCCTGGTGTCGTGAAGATGACGAAGCCGCCCCGGAAGGCTCGCCTCTTGCAAACGTTGGCTGGTCTCAAGAATCTACCCAACATCCTGCAGTCTCCAGGACCGGCCGCAAGCAGTACACCAACAGCACCAAACAACCTGGCGACTGCACGTAGGACGCTATTCGGGAACGTCCTGGTAGCGGAAGGCAAGATCCTGAATCACCCGGACTAGTGGGGCATCACTCACGTCTAGTTGTAGATAACCCCGTCGCGCAAAATCTTCTCGTGAAGCAGCTGCAACGTCACGACCTTACCGTGTTTACCACGAATAACGGGGAGGAGGCCATAGCCGGTGAGATGCCGTCCTTCGTGACGACTGCGACCAGACATGCTTACAATGTCAAAGAATGGGAAAGACACGAGCCTGGATTCTTCAGTATAGCTCTTTTCGACCACCGTGAGTCACACTTCCTCTGTGGATGTTGTTCATGAGGATATTCAAGCATGGCTTCCGCCAGACATGCCAATATGCGATGGTGTTGAGGCCGCCAAGCGACTCCGCCTGCTGGAGTCCAGTCGACGAGTTGAGATTCTTCTTCCGAGTACGCTAAGTTCTCCAGTAATAATGCTCTCGCTGACGTGCCGGCCATAGTCGTTGCCTTGAGCGCGGACTGTCAGGAGTCCACAAAACAGGTAGCTTGTCGGAGTTTTTGTTTGCTACTCCGATGTGTTGAATCGTCGACTCTACAGCTGTGTTTGAGTGCTGGGATGAACGCCTTCCTCAGTAAACCCTTGAAGAAGAGTGAGAGCCCCCCGTTACCCATTTGATCTTCTCCGGCTGACGAAATATGTCTTGCAGCCGATCTCTTGATGCTGTTGTCCAGCTTTGGCGGCGTCCCGCCAACTCCAAGTATCTCTGATCCTGGTAGCTGACTCGTGCGGTTAAGCATTTGTGTTGCCCTTGTTGCATTAATAGCTGTGTTTGGAATACATCAAGTTGTACTCTAGAGCTACATATTGTTATTTCTAATCAATGCTACTCCCATGTCGATGTTTCTATATATCTCCTATCTAATTTGTGGAAGAGGTCGATGATGAATTCTGCACTTCTCGCCTCGCGGCTAATCGACGTCGCACTCTGGCACGAATGGGATCTTCGCCGGTGTACGCAACTGCCAGAACCGCGCTGATGGATACACATCCAGCCGCGAGGAGACAGACGGCTATGTGTAAGCTTGTGAGCGACGTTGTTCCATCCCTCGCGAGGTTGTGCACCATTGACACACCTGACCACCCGTGCTTGACGTGATCGTACAGTTGACCGCTGATCAGCGGACCTATTGCGGATCCGACGCCGAAGCATAGATTGAAAGCGCCGTACACGTGCGCATCTAGATCAACGCCGGTGAAAAATAACGCCGGTTCCGAGAGAGATTAGGAGCGATTACTCACATCCGATGCCGTCTATGTTGCGCGAGATCGACGCGAGCTCGGCCATCAGGGGTGAAACTACGCCGCATGTAAAGAAGCCTATAAATGGGGCGCCATGACGCGCGACGAAGATTCAAGAAACGGGTGGGAGACGTACTTTGCATCGCGAGCGCGACGATGAAGAGCGGGAGGATGGGAATGATCTCGATGACCCAGAACGGGATGGAGAGGACGGTGCACCAAAGCGTGATCCATTCTGCGAAGAAGCAACAGGCAAACGACAGACGCGCGTGTCAGAGGAAGGATTCAAAATCGAGGGAAAGCACGTCGTTGGGGACGCACCCGTGCCGCGGCGATCGGCGTACCATCCGCTGAGCGGGGACGAGAACAGGGTAGGGACAACGCAGGCGATCATGACCAACCCGACCTTGGATGAGTTGAAGCCCCAGGTGGCCTGCATATGCAGCGGGAGCACGGGCTCCTGCGCGCTGTACGCGATGCCGTAGATGAGCGTGTTGACCATCACGGTGACCGCGCGGGACGAGGTGCCGAGCTTGACGAGAACGCCGAGTGGGGAGAGGTGGACGGACTCGTGCTCGGACGCTGCGGTTTGCGAGCGGGCCTGTGCGGGGACAGGTTGTCCGGCGTCGGTGGCGGCCGCGCTGAGCTCTGAGCGATTCACGGACTCCTTGGGCTTGACAGCCGCGCCTGTTGAGCACTGAGGCTTGACCGCGTCGTCCTCGCGGCGGAGATCACGATCCTCGGTATCGTCGGCCTTCTCCCTTGACTCCGCCTGCGCGAGCGAGCGTTCGGTCTTCTCAGCGACGCCCGTTCCCTCTTCGGCCGCCTTCTCGACGTTCTCCTCTTCCGGCTCGTCGGGCACTGCCATAGGGTCAACTCCCCACAACAACGCCTCCTTACGCTCGATGATCAACAGCCGGCCGACGAGGTCGACGAAGGTGACGATGCATCCCGAACACGAACGGGCCGCGGAAGCCAAAGCGCGAGTAGAGCGCGCCGCCTGCGGGCGGGCCGGCGAGGAGCCTGTGCAGAAAAAAGTCAGTTCGACGACTTCTGTCAGTATGGCGGGGATCGGTACCGACCCGAGAGAAAGCCCGGACATGGCAATGCCCAGCTGACCTGAGAATGACACGCGCGTGATAAGCTTGGTGGTGCTGGAATTACGGTCTGCCTGGGACTCACGACCAACGTACTTCTTTGGCGTAGTGTCACATCTAGGTAATTGGGTGACATTGAGCTTTCCTTGGGCCTCTCCATATGTATATATGCGCCATCGAGACGTACAGTAGTGCTAGGCCCAGGACCCAGACGACGCTCGAACTGATGCCTTGGATGACACGTCCAACCGCAAGGACCCAGTAGCGCGGAGCCTCCATCAACATAATCTGAGAACCGATGAGGGCGACCATGCCCATGAGCAGCGGCACTTTGCGGTTCTTATAGCGTTCGGAGAGCAGCGCGATCGGCGGGGTCGCTAGCGTGGGGTGGAAGGTCATTAGGACGAAGATGGAAGGCACAGTATGGGGTGCTCACAGACTACGAGGCCGCCAGACTGACGGTGTTGCATTGAGATAGAGAACGAGCATACGCGAGGGGGCGGATAGACGTACGAAGGCGAAGAGCAGAAAGCTAACGAGACCGGATACGTGCTTGTATCCTAGGCTCTCGAGCCGGAAGGGAAACACCGGGATCACGATGGAATACACGAGCAAGTCGGTCATGACGCCTATATGCAGTTTCCCGTTTTCCTCGTCAACGATTAGAACGAAGGGTCATTGATGCAACGACGTACCAAAGCCAACGACTGCAAGAGACGTCACGTTAGTATACGCCATTCATCGTCGCGCCTCCGGGATATATGCGCACCTAGCGTGATAAACCACACCGAAGATCTCCATTTCAGGCCCCATGGACAGTCCATCAGGAAAAATCAGAGTATCGAAAGAGTTGCTTATTGGGTACCGAAACCCTCTAAATCCACTAAATGAGCATGTTTTAGTACGTTTTAGGAGGCTTTTATCAAATCCGGTTTTTCCTGATGTCAGGGGGGTGACTCGGAGCGGTGCTGGTATGAGTGCTCTGCCTGGCGGACTCTGACATTGCCGCTCGCCCCTGTCGTACACGTCGCCAACGGCGAGATCAGAAACAGTCTCAAACTAAGTCCCCTCCCCTCTTGGTGAACGAAGTACGTTGAAGACAGGAAATGCCGTCGGCCAATCATTGGTAGATTGGCCCACTCTAGGGCCGTGGGAACTCCGCGAGGGGTTCGTCAGTGCTGAGTGATCTCGACATACGTATCAGGCGGTGCTCTTCCTGGGCATTATAGGCATTACTCGAGATCATAATGCGTACGATCCAGTTAGCAAGACCGCATACGTTATTGCAAGGTGATCTCGTCGGCGCACATGAGAAGGTCCACCTTGTCTCATGCCCATCGATCGTCCGGATCCGTTGTGCGCGATTGTTCCTGGTTCGTTCCCTTTGTTGCATCGCGCATGAAAAGGCAGCACTGCGCAACCACAGGGCGCCTGTCATCAAAAGCAAGTTGGGCCAAGATCATCGGAGACTCAGAGCGCGGACCTTGTGAACACCAGCGTGAATTGTATAAGCACACGAAGAGACACCGCCATGGGGTCGGTGGCGTAGTTGGTTATCGCATCTGTCTAACATTCAGTTGCACACAGAAGGTCCTCAGTTCGAACCTGGGCCGACTCATTTTCGCCCGTTCTGTGGCCAGAACTGCTTGCTCGCGTAAGTCTTCATTTGCGGGCATATCAATCCTCGCAAAAATTACCTGAGCTCTGGGATCTCAAAAGTGGATATTATGTAAGCGACGTCCAACCGTCCGATTCGCTGAGAACTCATTCCACGGCTTTCAACCACTTTCCACGCCACACAGCTCAAGCGAAGGTGAGCGGCTGGGGCACCCGGCAAGTTGATCACTCCAGTGGTGCCGATCGGCGGAGCCAGGCTCCTGGAGGGCGGGTAGCCGTGTTGTGGGTCGGCAGTGCCGGTGCGTTCTATCACCCTACCTTAAACTAAACGCGGAGGGCACACTTCATCGACAGTATTCATCATTGCGCCAGGCTCGATCCGCCCCCGACCGGGACGACGTGCGATGTAACGGGGGCCCCAGCGCCCGGGGCACGCTCCGTTGCCGCCGCGTCCACGACAGAAGCCGAAGGATTGACGACAGCGAACCTGAAGATCTGCCGGGCAAATTTTCTCAGTCTTCGACTTCCAGCGGGTTGGACTGGGTTTGCTCTTACCGGATGCGAGGTGTGGCATGTGGTAGTGTAAACATAGGAACACACCGATCGTTCGAACTCGAACGGCGAACTCGGGCACGCGCACCAGTCATAACCAAACACGTTTGTCTCCGTGCCCGATCGCCCCGGACGAGATGTCGTGAACTGGAGGAAGGTGCGTCCAAACCTCACATTTCCGCCGAGTTGTGGCCTGCATGATAAGTCCCGGGAAGCCGATGAAGTTCACACTGTTGTGAGCGCCCGTGACGTTGGCGGACGATGGAATCGGGCCAGAGGCGGAAAACAACAACAGCATGGCAGTTCCTCGTATCTTTCGGTGTCTTTCGGAAGTGCGCATTTATGGCAAGCACCACCAGTGAGAAGTTTCAAACAACAGTACTCACTGTGGGACCGTCCGGAAACTCATGAACTGACTTGCTGAATTGATAACGATAAGTATCGACAGCGCAGAAGGCTCTGACTCGCACGGGGGACCTTTTGAGGTGGCCTAGGTCGCGTTCCACGAACGTAACGAACGCGCGGGTAACGCGCGTTGATGCTCCGCCGTGCGCTGTTCGCGTTCCTGCGAGGTCGTCTCGACGTAATGGCAGCTTCCTCCTCCCTCTGTCCATCGGTCCCAGTCCTCAGTTGTAGTTCCTTTCGAAGACTGCCACGGAGACTGGTAACTAGTCTGGTCTCGCATCGACGTAAGAGAAGTGCGGGAACGCTGAGCAGACGCGCGACGACCGTAGGATCCCCACTGTCGGTTCGATATCATGCACGATCAATACGATGTCGAGAGGTGCATGTCGGGAAAGCTGTCGGGCCTGGACGCACCGCTATGGTGCCGCGTAGCTGATATATGGGCCGGTCTCCGAACTCGCGTCGCCGGCCCAAGCACCTCGTCGACAGCGCGGCCGAAGACGAGGGAGCTCCTGCCGTAGACCCGAGTTCTTGTCTTTGCTAAGCTGCCTCATCTCGAGCGGCGGAACCAACCCTGCCAGAGTCCGGATTTGTGCGATGCAATGAGCCTGGCCGACACGAGTCAGGCGTAATCATGCGTTACATTCACTCCAAAGATGGTGCAGGGGTCATGGTCGTCGGTACTCGAGCCGAAGGCTCGCCCGTCCCGCGAGCTTTTGTAGTTGATCAATGATGTACCACGATAATGATGCACCACGATACAGGTTGCTCGTCTGTGCAATATTATTCCGGAGAGGAAAAACAGTGTAGGTGGGCAAGCACAAGAAATGGAGACAGTCGTCGACTCAACGTCCGTATATACCCGCTGATGTAAGCAGGCAACACGAAGACGCGCGAGCGGCTCAAGCGAAACAATCCTATGCTCGGCCTCTGATACAGTAGTATCTGTTACAGATTCTCACCCTGGCGCCTGCGTCAAAGAAAAGATCTTGAGGAATGGCGATTACTTCAGCGCAGAAGGCGGCCATGCGCGAGGTCCTGCAGGCCATCCTCAATTTCACCCAGGGCGGGCGTTACAAGCGCCACCTCTCCGACATCTTCCTCGACCTGCCGAACAAGGAGGACTTCGAGGACTACTACCGCGTATGTGTAGATTCGTATTGCTTTTCAGGCGTTGACGAAAGAGGGGAAAGGAGGGAGAGGAGAAGGTGGGGCTTGAAACTGAAGCCTTGTTTGCAGATCATCCCACACCCGCGATGTCTAAACGACGTCAAGAAGAAGATTGACAAAGACGAGTACAAAGAGTGCACGGACGCGTACGGCGATCTCAATCTCGTCTTCCTCAACGCGCTGTACTATAACGAGGACGGCAGCCAGGTTCACTCGGACGCAACGCGTCTCAAGGTGCGTTTCTCCTCTGTTGCTCCGACTGCTGCTCATCGAAACGGCGTACTGTAGATGATACTTGACACGGAATGGAACAACCGGAGCGTACTGCCCACGCCGCGCGCGTCGCTACCGCCGGAGTCCGCGCAACGGACACACCAAAAGCCTGAAAAGCGCTCTAAGCCGCCCGCTCCTCCGCCCGCCTCTGCACCTGCCCCGACCCTACCGAAAGCTCCCGCTACGCCCGTTCCTGCTCCTGCTCCTACTCCCGCGGCTGCTATCCAGACACCCGCACCCGCGCTTACCGTACAGCCACCCGTCGCCGGCCCGTCCACTGCGCCCCCTGCGTCCACACACGTCGCGAGCCCGCAGCAAGCGCGCGGGTCCTCGCCCGACCAAGAGGGTGACGGGGAGGCTGAGGACGGGGAAGAGAATCTCAACGGGCGCGAGGAGGAGGCGCGCGACGGCGAGAGTGAGTCGATTATTCGGCAGCTCGAGAAGGGACTGCCGCGCTGGGAGGGGTTCGGCGACCAGGGATGGATGGACGACGTGCCCAACGTGTGTGATTAACTCTTCGGATGGCGTATGTGCCATGCGCACTTACATGGTGTGATCGGTAGGAGCGGCTGGTCGAGATTGTGCATGCAGTCAAGTCGTACAAGGACGTTGTGTGCGTCACTCTTTATCCGTCCGTGCCCCTCGCTCACGCATCGAGGCGACAGTGGTAATCGATATTCTGAAGCGTTAGACGCGTTACCCGAAGAGACGAAGATACCCGACATACCGTATAGCGTGCGCCATTCACCATAGAACCCCTCTGCTATGCACCTTACCGATCTACACTAGGCACAACTTTCCTTGCGACTCATTGAGGTGAAAACTCAATCCTTCCTTAGCACGAGGGAGCCGCGACTGACGCTTAGCAATCGCAGAGTAAAGCGCGTGCGGGCAGCTACCCCTCATCCCGTGCCTTCGATGAAGAAATGTCGCAGCTCTTCCTCAAAGCCCGCCGGACCTATGAACCCACCACGGAGCCCTATACGCGCGTTCTCCTCCTGCAGGTCCGTGCGCCCCTGCCGCTCCTCCCACCTCGCCCCTTATCCTCGACTTTGCCCCTATCTTCCCACTTGCTTCTATCCTCGACCTTGCCCCTATCCTCCCGCCAAACCCCCCTATACCTTATTGTTGACACTGGACTTCTATCTTCTCCACCTCAACTTCCCGCTCCTCTCGCTCCGCATCACGACGTGCTAACGCTATTTGCGTGATCCGCAGCGCCTCTACCACCAGCTCACCTTCCCGCCGCCCTCCGCGCCGATATCGACCCCGATTCCGCCCTCGCCGAGCAACTTCGCGTCTATCCGAGCGGGCGGTGGCCCGGGTGCGGCCGAGCCCGCGACTGCGTTTCGGGTGTCGACGAAGGACCGCGAGATCGTGGAAGAGCTCTGGTTCAAGGGCATGAATTTCCGCCTCGGCGATTGGGTCCACGTCGCGAATCCGGATGACCCCGGGCGGCCGATAGTTGCGCAAGTTTTCAGGTGCTTCGTCAGTGAGGACCCGTGAGTTTCTCAACATTCACATTCGTTCATTTTTATTTTCCCTTCTTTTGTCCTTTTTTTTGCGCCGACGCGTACGGAGGGGAGGCTGAGTCACAGTCTTCGATTTCTTCAGGAAGTCAAAGGGACAACCTGGAATCAGCGTATGCTGGTACTATAGACCGGAACAAGTGCGTGGCTCCATCCCTTTCTGAGGGTTTCCCCGTCTGATTCAAAGGGCGAAATCGTAGACGTGGCATCCCGCTCATCGCCAGTTCTGGCAAAACGAGGTGTTCAAGACTGGTCACTTTGCGGACCATACCCTGCCGGACATCATCGAGAAGATCGCGTGTCAGTTTACGGCGCGGCACATCCGCGGACGGCCTCGGCCGCCCTATTGGTATCCGGGCGAGCCGCTCTACGTATGTGACTCACGGTACAACGACCGAGAGCGGGTGTTTGTGAAGATCAAGAACTGGAACTCGTGTGTGCCGGAGGAGGTGCGAAAGTCGGACGGGTTCATGCCGATATACCCGTTTGAAAGGATTGTGTACCCGCGCCGGTTTGCGTCGCCTTTCCTCCAGCCCCCTGCGCCGGGGAGCTTGGGAGGGGGAGGGCAAGCGCCGGGCCCTGGCGGGCTCGGGGACCCGATCGAGCGTGCCGAAGGCGAGAAGATCGAGGGCGGCGGGACGGGACGCAAACGGAGCAAGAAGGCGTCCGCGAGTGCGAGTGCGACGGACACGTATGGGCCGAGTAAGGGCCTCTACGTCGGTGGGCCCTTACCCGGACAGCAGCCGCAGCTGCCCGTTCCGGCTCCAATGCTGCAGCAGGTGCAGGTTCAGCAGCAGCGGTCGCACACGCCGCAGGTCCAGCAGCAGCAACAACAGGCCGCGCCGCGGGCCGGGGACGACCGATCGATTGTTGGCGCCGCAGGGGGATGGGGCGTGCTGGGCACGAACGCATCGGCGTCCAAACTGCCACCCGAGACCGGTGAGCAGCCCCTTCTCCGCCCTTGTTTTACATCATCGTCCTCTGATATATTGGTATTTATTCTACGCAGCGAAACTGTTCGATCGCGATCCGGAGACGAACGAGGTACTGTGGTTCGCGAGCCCGCCCGTGGATGTCGCGCGCGTCCCGCCACCGCGGTATAGTCTCGCGTATCTACACCACTTAGCTATGAAGCGCAAGGCAGTTGGCGCGGGTTCGGACTCAACGGACGTGGACGCGGGCGGGGACGAGGTCAACAAGCGAGCGCGAGTTGGTGCGCCGCAGCGGACGACGGACGCCATCAACGCGTTGTATGCCGACATCTTTGGCGACAAGTAGCGATTAAATTGGGGTTCTCGTGGTGTACGATATGGGGTCTGTCAGCGGTCGCTGAGATGTTCTTGTTTAGTCTGCGGGTAGTGCTAGGCATTTGATCCTATGATATGAGCGCGAGGCCCTCCCACTCGCCCCATGAAGTTTACCCATTGGCCACGTCCAATGCCAGTCTCGGAATGGCATGGCCAATTAGGAATCAGCACGAGGTCCAGGCCCTGGGCCCGGTAGTGCCAACAAGGGCTAGTCCCGCGCTGGCCTCTGTGCAGAGCCGAATTATCTCTCCTCGAGGCAGTGCCTCTCCCCGTGACGAAGGTACAGCCAAGAGACAATAAAAAAAAAACTTCGAACGACGCAAAGCGCTAGACCTTCCGTAGACCTTCCGAGTAGTACATCGCTTGGATCTTGATCTCAGAATGCGGCTCGTCGCAGCCTCTTAAGGTAGGGTTCATTCATACCCCAGCACTCTGGCGTGCCAGTCTTGTCACGCATTGGCGGGGCAACCCCATGAACCCCAAGCAACTTCGCCGCAACCCATGCAACTCGATATGTTTTCTATACATATTGTACTCTGAGCCCGTGTGCACAGGCTGTTTAGAATAGATTGGTGAGATTCTCCTTGTGCTGTGCGCGGGTAGGTCAGGAAGAGCTTAAAAACGGACTCATAACTCGGTGCGCCGTCACGCCTGACGCCACCGCGCCAAAGTGTCCACATTCACATGATGTCACATCAATGTCACAAGTGCTTGAGTATGAATAGCCCTACCTTACGTCTCTTACCGCCCTGACAATGCTGGCATGCGCCCACGGCGTTGCTTCGACGAGCCATTTTCGCGATACGACGGGGAGGCGTGCACGTACTGACGCCACTTCTCTCAGAAAGGGTAGTTTATGCCGACCGGGAGGTCGTTTTCCTTTGAGCTGGAAGCAGAGTGCGGGATACACCGCCGAAGCCTATATCGACATACAGACCCAGAATTTCGTGACGTCTCGATTCCCAATAACATAGAAAACTGTGGAAAACTTGAAGCGAGCGAATGCTAGAATGCTAGATGATCGTGAGTCAGGTCTCAAGATTGGCGCAAGCGATGGGATACTGACCCTCGCCCCGTACTTTTGATAGTGTAGACAGAGCTCAAGGTATAATGGACATCTATGGTCAGAGCGGGCTGAGTATCGTCACGCAAACCATTCAAAAATATAACGCACCCTGACTCTCCCCCAGTCCGCGATCAACGTCGAAGTGCGTTCTAGAAACGTCATCTTGCATTGCGCGCACGTTAACGTCTCTGCGAGCGGGGCCAAGATGGCTTTAATCTCCGCACCGGTGATATCTGCGAGAGAATGCAGCCATTTTTAGTCACGAACCGACGCGCGTGAGGACAAAGCGAAGGCCCACTTGGACGGGCGTCCCATCCCACGTATGCGCTTGCGAATGCCCAGGCACTCGCGAGCCGCTTCTGCTCGAGCGGTCCGCACTCCGGGTCCGGTGGATGATCAACAGGAAGCGTCGTCAACAGCCTCCGGAGCGCGTCTTGCCTACCGAGGTGAAGGAACACAAGGCGCCGGAGGTAGCGCGCACCCATCTTGGAGGCAAGCTCGTCGGTAAGAGCGGGCAAGGGGTAGGATAGGAGGTGAGGGGATGCCGCGACGGCAAGGTGATTGATGTCGTGAGCTGCAGCAAAGCAATAAACTTCCATAGGCAACGCGGGAGCGTACAGGCGAACGAAGAGGTCGAAGAGGATCGTGGAAGGTAGAAGGAAAGAACTGATGCTGAATCCGTACTTGGGCAAGACGTCGAGGGCGCCGATCATATGGCCGAATGGAGGCACCGGTGTCTGCACCCAGGACAGGTTGTAGATGACGTGCAGGATGATGTCCATGACGTGCGAGCTCTCCGGGACTTGCATAACGGGCATCTGAACGGCGCTCAGGAGCGCGGGGTCAGCGAAGCTGGCGATGGGCAGCAGTGAGTTGAAGTTGTTCTCTGACTTGACGATGATACTAAAGTGAACGTAGAACACTTTACGGTCATTGGAGAGGAGGATCAGGTCCGACGGCGTGGTGTGGGTGGGGGATCCGGGAGAGAATGTGGTCGACACGGAGGACACCGTGACGTGTCCACCGAAGGATGAGCTGGCGCTATGCACCACCGGAGGCCGCTCGGGGAATCCTAAATCCGTGATCGAGTTCTGATGCATGAAGCGAAATCATGAGTTGAACTTCGGATCTATCAGATACAGGCGAGGTACGTAGCGTCGAAGAGAGGGCGCGTCACTGACATAGTAGGCATAATTGTCGGTTATTTCGGATGACTCAACATCGAGGGTGTCGATATCTTGCCACCCATGGTCTCGTATCGGTTCGGAGTGGTGGGCCGCGGTGTGATCGTCGGGAGGTGTTTTGCCGGTGAAGTCAGGCCTAGGGGAGAGCGACATGTCAGAGACAGAGAGACATGGACATAACATGGGGAGATGGGTTCCTCAGCCATGCCAGATGATGATTGATGATCGTTTATGTATCCCGGCCCTCACCTATCGCAAAATTCGGGTCTAGCATGCCCCTCGAGATGCCGCGGGACTAGCGGAGAATACGCCGGTTTTCCGGGACGTGTCCTTGAGAGAACGGAAGATCAATTGAAGCTGAAGGAGCAGATAAGAGCGCGCAGGGAACGCCAGCTCTGTGCGATATGTACTCACCTCCCACTCTTCCGACTGTCAGCGGACTGTGACGACGGCTGGGAGGACGCCAGGTATGTTGAATGCAACAAGGATGCACCGCAAATTTGGCTTCCGCGGCCGCTTTCCGGGTTGCGGCACCGCCGGCACGCGAGAAAATTGCGTATCCGCGACGGTGGCACGGACGCGGGGATGTGCGGACGAACATTCCTCGAGGGTCGACGAAGGTAGCCGTAAACAGCTCGGACTCTTCGCTAGGAGGAGGCAGTAAATCGGCAAGCAGAACATCATTGGACATATATCACCCCACGATCCACCAAGCTTGACCTTGAACTCACAAGCTTAAGGCTTACGACCAATGTGAAAGCCTGAACGATCCGGAGATGCATATGTGTACGCTCATGAGTGCGTTTCGGTACGCAAGCTTCTGTTCTTGCAAATTTTCAGTTCTTCAGTTGAATCCTATACTTCATCGCTTTCTATGTCTAATGCGCCAAATCACTTCAACCGTCGCACAGGCGGCCCATACAGTCATGCATGCTGACCCTCTCCGCATCGCTCTCTCTCTTCAGGATGCCGCGGGAGCTGAAGAAGAAGAAGACAGGTAATATAGCTCTCTTCCAGAAGGGCGGCGTCACGGCGGTAGCATGCGGCTCCATGAAGAATCCCATGAAGCGAGATCCGGGCGTATCTACAACTGCTCACGGGTACGAGAGTGCGCTCGTGTTATGTATAACTGATTGCGCATTAAACATGACTACGAAATCTTAATGCGATATGATCATTGTAGGATTACGATTGTTGTTGATCGATGACCTGGAGAACGTGCTTGAGAATCTCCCAGCTCAAACGTATCTATGACGAGAACAACAACCGGTACACGCTCAACAGCCTTATAGTCGGCTGTCAGCGTCACCACGCGTTCGGTCGTGCTGAGCTGCAAACAGTACTGCGACTATAGTCGCTTGCGCGGTCAATGAACGTATGCATATCGTCCAGTGCTGCCAGCGGGTGATAGATGTTGCGCAGTTCAATCCCTTGCATAGTGATCGGATTTATCTATGCTTACCCACAGGTCATCCCGGCAACATTGATGGCTCGTCGAGTCATTCGACGCGAAAGCGTGCGTCGTCGACTGAAACTCGGAATCGTTGTGTCGCGGCGGCTTGGCGGGAAGGCACCCAAGACTGCCGCGTTCTCCTGCTCATCACGTGATCGTGACGCATTTTTTTATTGTTCCGTTGAACGCGTTCCATGTTCCCGACGTCCGTGTTCCGTCAATGATCATCCGTTTCCGAGCTGGACATCCTCAATAACTGCTAATGATCCGCTCCAGAAGACTTGCTAGGCGCCGTCGAGGATGTGCACTCTCCGAACGGGACCCCTGCGAACCCAGCACAGCAGAAGCGTCGAGCCCGAGACAGGAGGTGGTTCTTTCCTCGGACTCGCTCGAAAAGAACGTCGCACTATGGAAGAGCACGACGAAGGCTGCTCAACGAGCCTCAACAGACTTCTTTATGATATCATTAGCGTGTTTCACCCCGCAGGCAGCTAGCTTCGTCTTCGAGCCCTTCGACGATCTTGATTGCCTGCTCGTCATTCGAACCAGGAAGCAGAGACACTCGTACAACCAGCAGCAAGATCACCAGCAGTGAAACCATTTCATTGATCCAAAGAAGAATAAACGCGCTAAAAATGTGCGCCTACATCGGCGGGGAGATCGGATGAAGGGAAGCCAGCGATAGTGGCCGCAAGCGGCGCTTCTTCTGCTCGACATACGGTTCTCGGGGGATGCTATATTCGTCGTGCAGGAAAACAGAGACGGCGCATTCGGTACGGGGCGTCGTCGACGTTGTACTTGCTGTTTCACCCGTGGTCGTAGACTGGGCATCAGCCAGCAGCGGAGAAGCAGGCAGCGAGAAGGATCGCAGAGGCAAACGACTGGGTCCACGTGGTACGCCAGCGTGCATTTCTGGCGACATGGACGGGTTCGGTGACGCCAGAGACTGGAAGCCGGCCACACGAGCGTGTTCATGCAGCACCTGGAGCGAGACTGGACGACGAGCGAGAGGGACACGGCGAGACTGGGAAACCTGGCGGGTGGGCAGATACTCCGTGGAGCCAGAGCCTGGATTCGAACTGCGAGGCGGCGACGCGAGGACCGTCGAGTTGTGGTTTCTTGCCAAGGTGATGAGGTGCGCGCGCAGTCTGTCCGGTGTCGCCTGCTGCAGCTGATCATCGAGCTGTAGCTTGTCTATGGACTCGGGAAACAAGTAGACTGGCAGGGACGCGGATGCTGAGATAAGTCTCGATTCTGATGGATGTGCTGATACGGGGTGTAGATCATCTTTGGCCGGAGCGGATCGTAGAATTCGATCTCGGGTTTGAAAGTCGTCCAGGCGCGCTCCAGGAGTACATCCGAGAAGACCGAGCGGTTCCGGGCGCACAGACGGCTCTCCGCCAGCATATCGGGTGGTTATCCACTGGCTCAACGATGAAGCTGTATGCGCCCCGCCCGTGATCGGTATAACCCCATAACCACGTACGGGACCAGCCGCCTTATCCCTGACGAGTAGAGCGCTTTCTGAACCAGATCGAGGCATAGAGAGAAGAATCGTCCTGATGGTGGAGACCGTACAGTAGACGGATCCGAGGGCCACCAGTATCAGTAGGCAAGCCCATATTGATATGATGAGGAATAGTGAAAGGAGGGTCTTGAAAAGAATGACTATGGGCATTGTGGGCGGTTCAAGGAGCGAGAGCGTGTAACCTTGTGAGTGAGTGGATAAGTGTGAACCTTTGTGTATATGAGTCTCCGCTGAGGAGCAAACGGCACAGGGTTCGACATGAATGACATGTTTGACGCACGTTCAATTACCTTCAACCTTCGCAAGAATTATCGTTACTTCTATGTTACGTTCTTCACTGTGACTCGATGTAAGTGAGTGGATTGACCTCGTCCGTTTGGTCGACGCAGCCCTCACGAGGCGTCGTCCGCGCGCATTCATCTCCGAGGGTGAAGCATGCACTCGAGCTTCCGCCAAGCTCAAGATCGATATCTGATGACGTTGGGTCACGTGTGCTGATAAACACGTGGCCCGGTCTCAGCCACCAAGATATTCAGCTGCGTATTTCTGTTTCACTTTATGGCCTCCATTAGGATCCCTGTCAACAGGATGAGCATTACGACTCCGGAGAAGTCTCGGACTGCATATCACATTGTCCACCATTCTTTGACAGCGCCGTCTGGCGCGTCGTCTTCTGGATGGATCGATCAACATAGGTTTAGGAGCTCCTCGTCCGCTAGCCCCTTACTGCGGGATTGGGCCTCCCGGGCCGGCAGCATTCACCGCTAATTCACGGGGCCAGAGTAGCACAAGACGACCCTCAAGATCACCCAAACGCCCCTGCCGCGCCGTGCGTACGTGAGTCGCTCGCCTCCACTTTGACCGCGTTTCTCGATTTGCGCTCGAATAACGTTGCGCCATAGAATTTCCGGTGCCTGTTCAGCCACCGCCTGATAAAATGGGCATGACGGTTATCTATCATAGGACCCGCCTAGGCCTCGTTAAGATTCCGACTCCGGCGGGCCATTTGTGGGCTTGTCGGTCTTTCAACGACTTCTTCGATGAGCGACGATCTGTACATGATGGTTCGAAATCGTTGGTACGGGTACGCTACGCCCGCTGTTGACGCAAGAGCTGTTCTAGCCGCGGCCTCTTCGAAGAGGCATACGGCGCCGCGTGCCGGAGCTTGTGCTACACCCCGGAATGGGTGATGCTCTCGGAGCAGAAGGCTTGTCGAGACGCGCGATTCGCCCGATTCGGGTAAGGTTGATTCTCCGGATGCATAGCGCGTATCGCGATATGGCATGATGAGCTGTGCCTGCTACCGATCATGATCGGAGAACTAATCTCAGGATGGCGATAGATTACACAGCGCTTCTTCGAGCTACGCTGCCACTATCGAGATATGCATCCTCTACCTACCGATTTGGGCAACTTCGGTCGGCAATCCTTGCGATTTAATTATAAGCACCTTCCTGTGGGCACCTGTATGGCCAGCTTCGCCGGGGGTACGGCATAGGGGCTCGGTACGCATCCAGCCGATTACGTGACCTGAAAAATCTCAACACATCGTGCCGTTATTTTCGTGCCCAGATTATTGCCCATTTTTATTAGAGGACCCTCGCGGTATCCAAATGCAGTAGCCCGTGCGTAGAAGCATGCCCCGCCATTGGTCCGTTCTCCCACCCCCGATCGGCTTGGACTTCGGGACGTGCATTCAAAAAGACCAGCTTTTGGTTGCCGGAAGCCCACCATGACTCCCCCGCCCGGCCAGATGATCTCCGTGATGCACCATTCCGCGGTCGCGCACGGCGACAAGGTCTCGATCACCGCAACCGTCGATATCTTCAACACCGGGCCTACAGCCGTCTTCGCGCGGCTGGTCCTTGGAGGAATCTCGTCGCTGGACACGTCCCTTGTCCAGAATACCATCGGAGGGACCTGCTGGACTCTCACCGCAAGCGCACCCCTCTCTCTGTGTCGCGGGACCCGCCTCTTTGTCGAGGTCATGTCGCACGACGGGGAGCTTCTGGACAGGGGTGATTGTGGCCTGTTGCTCCCTTCCTCCGACGCAAGGCCCGCCCTCCATATTGTCACATCGTCGTCTTCCGGCTCGTCTGTCCTTCGCGGAACTCGCACCCGCCCACGTAACATCACTCCCTATGCACGCCCCACCCCGTCGCCAACGTATGACGACTTTGACCAAGAGTACCGGCCTTCATCGCGCGACTCTCGCAAGAAGCGCCACGCATCGTCGTCCGCCCGCGCTCGTCGTGCCGTCAGCCCGGGACTCCGTAATGTCCGGTCGCAGGAGCACTTGGCCCCGCCGGAGACGACGACGACGACGTCGGTCCTCCCTCAAACATGGACGCCCCTCGCGTTCTCCAACTCCTTGACGGAGATGAACGAGGCGTGGGACACTTCGGAAATTCAGGCTGGGCGCCGCCTCGTCCATTTCACCCGGGTTTTCGACGGCACCTCTCTCACCGTCCGCTGCCAGCCGTTCAGCCAGCAGGACTACGACACCGAGCAGTCGCTCGGTCTCCGCCAGCCCACCGACCGAGACATCATATCGTGCATCTACCGCGCGGACAAGGGCGCATATTGCGTCACGTCGGTGGATTTGATCCGCCTGCTCGAATTCTTGATTGGTGTCGAGTTTGAGGTCGACGAGAAAAACAGGATCCGCAGGTGAGCTGGCTTATCGTCGACGGCTGTTACGACTTTACTCACGCGATTCGTTTCAGAAACCTCGAGTACATCCACCCCACTACCGTGTCGAAGCATAAGTCGGGGATGAGTCGATTGTTCCAGCAAATAGTGGATTACCCCATGCCGAAGCCCAGAAGTATCGAAAAGGACGTCAAGGTCTTCCCGTGGACGCGACTCGAGGAGGCTCTCAAAAAGATCCTCCACAAATATGTGAGCAACTCTCCGTCCCCTTCGACGAATTGTTTCTGACTCAAGCGTCGTCTAGTGGATCCACCTCCAACCGATGGAGCATCAGGCCGACGGTCTGCAAATCTTAGCCGGAGGATTGGAAGCCTCGCCAGTCTCACCGACGACTTCGCTCTCCTCGCCGCCCACCACCCCCGTCCTCAGCCCCGACCATCCGCTGGCGGAGGCGCAAGTGCGCGACATGATGCTCCCGTACCATCACCACGACGTTGCGTTGTCCATGAGGCCGCAAATCGCCATATCACGCTCCTCGTCGTTCGACGAATCCGACTACGATTCCCCTACGGTGGCATGTGGGCTCGACACGACCGCTTATCTGACAGACGTCGCCGGACCCATGCCCGGACCATGGGGTCCGGAGCCGACAAATTACTTCCACTTCACGTCGCCCGGCGACGTTGTCCATCGCGAGCTCCCGCCGCAGCTGGACGCGTTCGCCCCGGACCTCGCCGGCATGCCGTACCCCGACCTCGGTCACACTATCCTCACCTAATCGCATCGCTCCATCCGCGGGCCTATACCCCTTCCTGCCCCCGCTGTACGACCTACCTATAGTATTGGCCCCTCATCTGTACCCGTAAGTTATACTCAGTATCTGCTAGCTTGTATCTATGGCGCGCCATATGTCGCCGGGACGGACACTATGTAGCAATTTTCTTGGCATTGGCATTTTGTAATCTCCTATCTTCGACGCTTCAAACACGATTAGTAGTTATAATGGACACGATTGTATTCCCTCATACCACTGGCCATGAAAACGAACTTTGCATCCGTCGCTACTCCCAGCGTGATCGACAACCTGCGATTGGATGAACGCCGGGCGATGAGTGTACCCCTCTTTTCCGAATAGCGGGACGATCGCGCATGCTAGCCCTTGTCTCACTTAGTGAGGCTATGGATGAAAATGCTTCAGGACGCCGACGCAGGTCACAGATTAGACTGAGGGGCGGAGTTATCTCAAGGCATTAATCAAGCCACTACATCGCCACCAAGCCCCTCCTGGGTCGCTTTTCCACCTTCCCTCGCGGTCGCACTTGGGCTGATCCGAATACGCTGGGTCTGTATTTTCTGCAGCCGTCTAGTTCCACGCGCTGTCCTGTCTGACATCGACGTCGACGACGCGCACTTATCACGAAGTTATCACCGGACAGCCTGAGATTCCAGGGCGCGGGCCCGAGATGACGAATACTCTTCCGACATCCGCGTTCGACGGTATCTTAGCCAAGTTGGCGGACGTGCTGGAGATCACTCAACGGGCAGAGGGTATCAATAATCCGCAGACGCGGCAGGCGCTCCTCCAAGCTGTGCGTGTTTGCGCTTTACGGCGTTCTGATCCGTTTCGCGTACTGAGACCCCATCGCGCGCGAAGACCAAAGACTTCAAGGATGCCCTTCTGAAAGCGAAGGATACTGCCAACGGTCTTCCAGGCGGCGAGCTGAGCATCGCCGATCAGGATCGAGTGATAGAAATGCTCGAGAAATTGCGGGAGAGGACCAGGTGAGGAGGCTATCGTCACTCCCTCCAGCACCTCTCGTGGCGGTGAACGGGTTCTTATTCGTGGACTGCCTGGTTTACGTTATCAACCCCTCCGCGCAGATCGCAGCTAGCGCTCTTTACATCCAACATGTCACTCGCGACGTCGACCAGCGAGCACGAGGCCGCGAGGATGGAGATCGACTCGACGGCGTCCACCCCGTACCAATGATAGCAACCTATCGCTTTTCCGAAGAGGCTCACGGGAACGTACTCATGTCGCATCCAAGCTGGGCCTAGAACAAGTTCATGTGAACGGTAGTAAAGGAGGTCGCATGTTCCACCGGAAGGGGGGCGATGTGATGCCAGTGGCGTCACGTTCCATGTCCTCGTCGGCGTCCGCGAACGAAGCAGCTCACTGCCGACCCGTCCGACAAATACTTCATGCTGGTGCCTACAAATTGACAGAGAAATATAAGCAATCCGATGAAAATAATATTCGCTGATCCGAGATTCAGCAGCGCCCCGAACGTCGATACTTCCGTCGGTGTTTGCAATAGCCGCGATCCTGGGCCAACGGAGACAATTTGGGAAATTGCCATTCAGAGGTATCTCAGCGGGCACAGTCAAGAACATCGTTCGAATACTACATAAGTACTTCTTGCAATTCGGCGGCCGAGCAGGTGGTGTCAATATTATGTAATATAATTGATCTCGTGACCTGTGCTCTTTCACGTTCGATTGCAGTTTCTTCTCCTGCGCATGCGTTAATGGGTCTTCTATCACAATGGATTTTGTGTACTAGCGATTACGACCCCTATACGCTCGCGTACATTAGCCGCGATGCTGCTTGGAAGAGCCAATGTCCAACCAGCGGTGATCTGGAACGATCGAAGTCATGGCCGTCTTCTGCAGACTTGGACGCCGAGGGTAGCGACGATGATATCGACTCCACCAGTTCGCCGCGGGCTACTCGGACCGCCATACCGGGGAGGTGCGAATCCGTGCAGCGGGGAGCCGTTCAGGCCTTCGCCCGGGGGTCCGGGCGTGCGTCCGCCGGGTTCATGGAGCATACATAGCACGACAAACGAGGGATCCCACCGCTCGGGTTCGTTATCGCTGACATCCACGTCAACAGAGAGGAAGATGGGATTGACGATACCAATACGCGATGCTTTGAGGGTGAGCACCGCCGGCGATCCTTCGTCTCATCCCGTATTCCGTGGCTGAAGAACTCCGCGCCTTCGCTGTCGACAGTCAGAAGGGAAGAAGGCGGCAGGCGCATGGCTCACCATCCCGAGCACCGTCGTCGCGCGTACGATCGCTAATACCGATGGTGTCTCATGGGTGGTGATTGACGGCGGTCATTGGCAAATCTTCTCGCTCCATTGTTCATCAGGCTGACGCCAAATCCGGTTTCGTCCAGAACACGGCCTCATCACAGGTTTGTGTCGTTTTGACGCGATCTTCCCCATTGTTCTCGTCCGCCACCGTTCTTGCCTCGCATTCCGACTAAGGCCCTCTCCGTTAGATGAAAAGTACTACGATCTAGCGAACACGATCGCAGATCGCGGTGTCTCGCCCTTCATTCGCATCCCGGGTGACGAACCCTGGATGATCAAGCGAGCCCTCGACGCGGGCGCGCACGGCATCGTTGTGCCCATGGTAAACTCGCTCGACATCGTCCGCAAGGTCGTCGCGGCGTGCAAGTACCCGCCGAACGGTGTCCGTGGATTCGGGCCAATGTTCACCCACGCCGCCGGTGCCCTTGGAGCCCAGTACCGTGCCGCAGCGGATGCCGAGACGCTGATTGCAGTACAGATCGAACACCCGGATTCATTGAGGGACGTGGAAGCGATTTGCAAGGAAGGGATCGATATCGCATTTGTGAGCGCGTGCGCACCTGGCTCAAAAGTCGGCGTTGTTGATTGATGCCATTTGTGGGACGCGAACATTGATTGGACAGATCGGACCGTTTGATCTTGCGCTCTCGATGGGCGTCGAGTTCGGTTCCCAGGAGCACGAAGATGCCATCGCGCGGATCTTGGCCGCTGCCAAATCCGCCGGCAAGCTCGCAGCCATATTTTGTGCGTTGTATAACCAGTCTCAATGCTACAGAACTACACTCCTCACATTCATCTGATGGACAGGTCTGACTGGCGAACAATCGGCCAAACGATTCGAGCAAGGCTTCGACCTGGTGAGCGTCACGACGGACATCGACTCTATCACCGCCGCTTTCGCGAACGAGCTCAGTGCGGCGGTTAAGGCGAGTGGAGTAGCTTCTGCGAAGTCTGGGTATAGCATGTGAACGGTGGCGACACAACTGTCGAGTTCGGCATCGAGAAAATGATAGGTGTATTAATAAGAAGCCTGTTGTTATCCTGCCACGGCTACGGCGGACGTCGTAGACTTCTCTGGTGCTTGCACCGGGTGTGCTTTCCCGTGACGGGAATGCTTTGTCTCCTTTATAGCGCTGTATGAGTATTGAAATTTGTAGTGCCTTGGAATGACCGCCAGCGATGATATTGCTTCCTTGATCATGAGCGGGCGAAGTTGTACGATGTTGTGTACATCATGGAAATGCCGATAAGAATCTCCAAGTTGTGCGATGGAATAGGACGGGATCAAGGTCTGGACTTCCTCAATTTGTTGCGGTCCAGGTCGACAGAGGATCCTATCTTTATGTCGAGGGGTGCGATAGGGCACGATATGCTGTATACTGTATTCCCAGCATAAAGGCGCTCATGGGCGCTCGACATGTCATAACCGCGCCGGTAACAACAGCCTCGTAGTTTCTTTCAATGGGTCTACGGCAGCCTGAGCCTCTCTCGTAATTCATTAAGAGTATTCTCGACAATATTGGAGAAAAACGCTAGTATATGGGGTTCCTCGTAGTAGTGCGTGACCGTGGAAACTCGGGCGCTGTCGCATATGATGCTCGGTCTATCCAACAGACGTAGTACCAAGCTCCAGGCTGAGCGGACGGCTGCGCTCCGGCAAACACGGAACCTATCGAGTCCGTATGCCACGGCGCTGCGTACCTCACGAACGTGCCGTCGTCAGCCGGCAACATTGTGCAATAACCAAAGGTACGCATCGTCCGGAGACTGTCGGAGACCGTACATCTCGGGCTCGGTGAAGACCTCGAGCCTCCCGCGCTTGCTCTCCGCATGATAGCATCGCAGAGGTCTATCGGATGACTGGCGAAGAAAGGGTCTTTTGCGGCCTGAACGAGTCTTGCGGCCCGGGATACGTGAACGGATCATTACGACCGCGTCCGCTGCCTGTCGTAAATCCGAGGATACGTAACGTAGGTGGCCGTGCGCGTTGATGTGCCTGGCACTGCCGTCCCGTTGACCCGTCAATGAACAGCCTAAACCCAAGCAGGCGGGGCGAAAACGCGGATTTCCAACCGTGTATTATGCAGGACTTCCCTAGGAATGATCGCAGCCTTGTCACCTGCGTGTGTGCAATATCGTATAAGTATCGCTTTGCGAGGGTGCACAGAAGCAGGTCATCGCTCACCACGCAATGATATACAACACAAAGCTCTTCCTCGCTGTTAGCGCCCTTGCGTGGTGAGTCTCCGGCAGTTCGGCTTCAACGCCCTTGATAGGCTAATGCGTACCATCGTCTCTTTAGCATTGCCACGGCGCAAGCGGCTGCCACGGCCTGGCCAACGCCTATACCGAAGGTGCTGTGTTGCTCCCAAGTGTGAGTTATTGAAAGACGGCGGTAGCGAATGGACAGGCCCTGACCGGATATTAACCAGTGACTGCTTCCCAATATGCGACATTGCCTGCGATACAAGCTGTTGATTCCGGAGAGCTCGCACGGAGGCGGTCGTAGTCTTGTAGACAAGTGGTAACTTCAGTCGTTCACCTACCATACATGATCCTCAATACCATCCTCGGTATCGAATATCACGTTCGTAGGAGCTAGCTTGACTCACGAGTTTCTGCTTGACTGAGAACTCGAATTGAGAAGCACTGCGTTACGGGGCGATCCAAAACAAGCGTGATCGACGGAATGTTTGAGACCGACTCGGATGTCTGCCATACGTCATCATTCCTCGAGATTGAGGATTGAGTATGACGGGGAATGAGACCCATTCGGCGACGCCTGACGCTACACACTGCGCTTCGTGCAATGATCATGTACATGTGCGTGCACGGCGGAGGACTTCATACAGGCTATAAGGACGGACGTTGTCCGGATATCCACGCCTGTCAAGCACTGCACCTGTTTCTATAGTCATGAAGCTTTTATTCGCTACTATTGCCGTCGCAGCCATGTAAGCTAGATATCTTAATGCTACATTGTTGGTTACTGACCAGCCCGTGCTTCCAGTCTTGCTACCGTTCGAGCTGCGCCTCAGAGCTCGGATGAACTTCCCCCGCAGCTCGTCTGCTGTTCGCAAGTGCAAGTATCCTAGTAAACCACATATAAGTTAGAATCAACTAACAAATCTTTCGACTTAGACATTGCTTGCCTCTGTGTGACATTGTATGCAATCCCGACTGCTGATGTTCGGCGTCCGCCAAGCTGAAGGAGCTCTGCCAAGAAGGGCGATCGTACTCCATGTGCTTATGATCACGCTCAATCTGACAGGCATTGGATACAGACGGACGCCTGTATTCTGGAGTCTACCGGCTTGCACAAAAGGCACATTGTGAGCGCCAATTATTCAGGAGGCAAGCGCGACCCAAAGCCTTGCGAGATCGCCGTCAAAGGAAGAAGACGCGTGAGAAAGTATGGTTGAGCTGCGGTCAACGATTACGCGGAGATTTCGTCGCAACATGACTCCTTCCGCACTGGCTGGGAGTGGTGCAATCCGTCGGGCTTTCTGCACTTTCATCTTGACTCAGAGCTGTGAAAACGAACATTTGTTCTCACCTGCGGGAAATTTGAACGCATCCTGACAACGATCGGGTCTCCTTCCTACACTTTAGCACGATATCATGTCCTCGATTTCCGAGCTCATAGAGCAGTCAATCCATGTGGTTCCAGCTTTCGATTTCGAGTGCGGAAGGACGCTGTACGAAGTGCCTATTGCATACAAGACATGGGGCAAGCTGAACGAGTCGAGGGACAATGTGATGATCATATGTCATGCGTTTACTGGGAGCGCAGACGTCGAGGACTGGTATGTGTGTCACCTGGATCTCTATGCTTCCTGGACTGACGCATGATACAAGGTGGGGTCCTTTGATGGGTCGTGGCAAGGCATTCGATCCCAGCAAATACTTCATATTCTGCGCAAACGTTACCGGGTCACCCTATGGCTCTGCGTCACCGGTCACCACAAACCCGGAAACGGGCAAACCATATGGGCCCGAGTTTCCTCTCACCTCCATTCGCGACGATGTCCGGTGCGCCTTTCCTCATCTTGTCCCAATGTGACCCGTTTTCACCGACCGAGTGCCTTTCCAGACTGCACAAACTCGTCCTTGATTCGCTCGGCGTTTCTTCCGTTGCCGTCGCGATAGGCGGGTCCATGGGTGGCATGGCCGTTCTCGAATGGCCGCTCTGTACCCATCCCGGCTACATCAAGCATATCATCCCGATCGCGACCTCAGCCCGGCACTCGGCGTGGTGCATCTCCTGGGGCGAAGCCCAACGGCAGAGCATCTACAGCGACCCGGGCTACGATGACGGATACTACATCGCCCAGCCGGCTTCGGGTCTCGCCGCGGCGCGCATGGCCGCACTCCTCACCTACCGCTCGCGCGACTCTTTCGAGAGCCGGTTCGGCCGCAAGCCGCAGAAGCTACCGGTCAACCGCGAGGCGGGGATAATCACGCCGCCCCTGTCCCCCGCCACGCCAGCGGACGAGGCGCTCGCGGCGCACAATGATGGGCTACGCAACCCCAAGCCGCGCACGCCTGCGCTCGGCGAGGGCCCGACAAGCCTGAACAGCACGGGCTCGCGCGCGGCGACGCCCTCATCGTCCAAGCCGATCTTCTCCGCGCAGTCGTACCTCCGGTACCAGGGCGACAAGTTCGTCGCGCGCTTCGACGCGAACTGCTACATCGCGATCACGCGCAAGATGGACACGCACGACGTCGCGCGGGGTCGGTCGTCCGCCGAGGACGAGAACGTAGCGCTGGCCGAGGTGCTCGCGACGCTTCCGCCCCGGGCGCTCGTCATCGGCATCCAGACTGACGGATTGTTCACCATCAGCGAGCAGCGCGAGATCGCGGCGCACATTCCCGGCGCGGAGCTGGTGGTGATCCAGTCCCCTGACGGCCATGACGGGTTCTTGCTCGAGTTCGAGCAGATCAACGGGCATATTCTCAGATTCTTGAAGAGGGAGTTCCCGGGGCTATACGCATCTGGCGCGGAGACCGAAGAGCAGCCGGAAGAGGGCTTCGACATAAAAAAGACGAGCGTGTTCGGGGAGGCTGAGGCAGATATCACGAGGTGGTGAAGGCACAGCGCGGTGCGATTTGCTTATCATTATTCGCTTTGGACAGTTCATGTTGCTATCCAAGGGACGTTCGTGCGAGGCGTAGAAACTACATGGTGTACAAGGGATACATACACGTTCGGCGCAGTAAAACCTAGACAAAATGTAATTTTGATGCGAAACGGCTCGCTATGGCGGTGGTGCAGAGGCCAACCATAAATCCTAGCGTGATGAGTGATACATCTCGTTCGATGGCCGGGCGAGCCTTGGATAGTTGGTTGTCCGCTTCGGCATCGAGGTTGGCGAAGGCCTCCTTCGTGTCAAGCTTCCGCTTCGGCTCCTCGATCGGGGCGTGCGTCACCGGCTGGGCGCTCTTATAACATTTGTCGAACGCGGGTAAGCCGTCCATGCTCGCAATGTTATTATCGTTCCAGTACGCCTTCAGCCCGTCCGCGCAGATCGCTTCCAGCTCGCCATCTTGGAGGCGGATCGTCTTTGCGCCGTCCTTCTCCGCGACTCCGCCGCCATCAAAAGCGAGGTCCTTATTCTCCCGCTTGTAGGCGAAGTTGAGCAGCGCTGTGCGGTGTTTTTGGAAGGTGTAGATCGGTACCGCGTAGCCACACGACTGTAACATCCACGAATGCGTTTTCAGCATTACAGAAAACGGACAGGCGACTTGAAGCGAGATAAAACCCACCGTGCCGACTTTGTGCACCCTGATCTCGACGACGGCCCGTGAGCCGGGTGTGCGGGAGGAGAGGTCGATCCGCCGGTTGTACTCGGACGTGCCGAATTCGTGGACGACGGCGGTCCCGAAGAGGCGCAGGATCATAGCCGCGCCCTCGAAGGCGCTGAACATGATCGTAATTCGGCCGTTCTCCCGGACGTGCGCAGCTGTCTCGCTTCCTAAGAGCGTGCAGCGTCGGCTCAGTACAACGTTTCACGTCGCGATATCAAGGGGTGCAGACCCACCTGACCCAGTCATATCCTCATACCACACTGACAAGGGGACACTGATCATGAATAGGCTCTGCCCCATGGATTGACGACGGCCCGTACCTTCATTGGGGCTTTCGACGTGGAAACAACCTTTCAAGCCCTTGGGCGAGACATTGACATGCCCATGGGGAGATAGTGGGGCCGTTGCGACCCAGAACAGCTCCTGTTTCCGGATCCACGATATGAGATGGTCGGGGATGGCGTCGTAGAATTTGCCCATCTAATGTATATGACTGGGATTAGTGGTCAGCGAGTGTCGTGTTGGAGGAAGGCAAAGAGTAACATGGATACATACCCACCTCAAGATTGCACCGAGGTACGTGCTTCCTCGCTTCCCCAGGATTGGACACGAGTCAGGTGGGATGATGCTAAGATGACTGGGCTCCGAGTTCTCCGACGCGAAAGGAGCGGGTTGTGGACCATAGTGAAGAAGTCGTTATCGGGCCATAGCCACTCCCGCAATCTGCGATGTCGTACAGTCCCCTTTCATCGCTGCATTACTGGCGATATACAATGTGCTCAACGCTGCAGCTTGCAGTTCATTCAAGCCCTGATAATGCGTTGTGCGTATAACCATGAATCGACACCACAATCAACTCCGTTCATGGTGACCCGGTGGCGAGGTCCAATAGTGAGAATCAACCGAAGGTCATTAGATTGCGGTGAGGCTGCTGCAGTTGTCATCGGCGGCGGTGACGGGGTGGGGCAGGAGAGGACGACCGTGAAACATCACGTGAATGGTGCCCACCAATTTCACTGTGTTAGCCCCGGGTCTCTGGTCTCTGCGACTCGATGGTGATATCCATGTACCATCGCGACTTAGCCGCATGAATGCACGAGTACTACTCTGTCATTCTTCTACGCGATGCAAGAGGTTTCATCTGCATTGCTTTGGCTATATGCGATGTCTACGACCGCATCTGTTCACAAGCGGCGGCGCCGTGGATGGACTGATGCATCGCCCTTCAAGCTGAAGTACTTCTGCTACGAACGTTTATGACCGCACCCTTTACGCCCATGCTGCATGCCATGGGTACGACTATCTAGGCAATACGTTGCACGGCGTGTAATCTGCGAGTCTGTTTCGATCACTTCCGCCTTGGTTTCAGCTCGTTTCGGTCGTTCCTGCCGTCACGTGTGGCGGAAGCGAGCGAGATACAGTAGCGAACGACATGGTTTAATGGTGTTTCGCATACAGATCAATCCGCCGAACCTGTGTCATACTGCTCTGGGGTACTTGATGTGGTAAGTTCATGCCCATCTCGTTGCATGATTGCTTCCCTCAACTGCCCCACTAACTCTGGACACTCCGGTCCCTTCTTCATAGGAGACAGCGCCGCCGTCGCCGGGTCGCCTACCTCAAGTCGTTCCGCCCCCTAGACGGTCCGTTGAGAACGATCGGCGGATGCGGCATTTCGCCGCCATCCGCGCCGGTCTGCTATATATCTCTGTCCATCGCGACTGAACCCTCATTTCGCGACTCTTGTTCATCCTCACCCGTCAGTTCACCCACAGCACATTCTGCCTTCCAATGTCTGGTTCAATGTCCTCTCGGCTTACCGCGTCCCTGCCGTTGCGGGTGTCGCGTCTCGTCAACGTCTACTCGTGGCGATTACAGTCGCCACCCTACAGACGATGGCTTCGACGCCGGGCGCTGGTTACAATTCTACTCATCGGCGTACTCTATACCTGGATGGCCCCCTTCAACCATACCACCTCTCAACCTCCAGTCCACCCACTTGTCGGGTTGGTTAAAACCGCGACCGCGACTTTATCGACGCATGGGTCGGTGGAGACTGGCGTTCCGTTTGTCGCGAGGCCAAAAGTCGAGGCCCGCCCAGGTACGATCCGCCAGCAATCGATCTCTGACATGACCATCGACATTGATACCCATATATACGCAGCGGCCGACAACCACCAGTATCGCACTGACGGGCTCCTCGTGGCGAACCCTAACGGTACCCATCCGATCCACGAGCTCATCGAGAAAGCGGAACACAAATGGGACACGATGTTGAAGCGCCAGAGCCGTTCTCTCCAAGAGGCGGTGTTGGAGTATAAACGGCGCTACGGGCGTCTCCCTCCGAAGGGTTTTGACCACTGGTCCGTCCTCATCCGGACCGAGTGTAGGGATCCGCAGAGCTAACGGGATACTTGTCGTAGGTGGGATTACGTCCAGGCCAACAACGTCATGCTCCCCGACGAGTACGACCAGATAGACCGCGACCTCGCGCACTTCTGGGCGATCTCTCCCAAGCAGCTCCGTGCCGCGCAGGCCGCGCACGAGGCTCACAAGGAGACGTACACGATCGGCAAGAACAGGCACGGGTACATCGACATCCTCAAAACGAGCTTCCACGAGAACACGAATCATGATCTGTACCTCGATGGCGCGTTCCAGATGATGGAGGTCCTTGAACCCATCGAGGAGTTCATCCCGCCTTTCCGCGCCGTCTTCAGCCCGCACGATGGCCCGAATTTGTTGTCGAACTGGCAGATGAAGGAGGAGGCTCGCAAGGCCGTCGCTCAAGGCAAATGTGCGTGTTGTCTTTTACTTTCCATCTATCTCACAGACGTCGCGGCTGACGAGGTGTTCGAAAGACTTGGACCTTAACCATCTCCCTTCTTTGGAGAACGTCGGCTGGTTCACGGCGTGTCCGCCCACCTCACCCGCGCGTAAGGGCCCGCCCCGGACCGGGAATCAATCACGGCTCCCCCCGAACCTCGCCATCCCGAACCGCAACCGGACGTTCATTCATAGCCACATCAAGGCCATGGATCCCTGCCTTCACCCTTCCATTGTCGACACCCACGGCGAGTTCCTGCCTCACCCCATCGGCCCCCCTCTGCCGGACATCGTCTTCGCGCCCCAGTTTAGCTACAGCTCGTCCTTGCTCCACGGCGACATTCGCCCCGCGACGCCGTTCAACTGGATTGAGGACCTCGGCGAGAACGACCTGACGTGGGACCAGAAGGAGGCGACGGAGGAAGGGCGCCAGGGTCGACTTCTCTGGCGCGGGAGCAACACCGGCGTGTACTGCTCAGATGAGGAGCGATGCTACCAGTCCCAGAGACAGCGCCTCGTCGCCCTCAGCGAGAACCGGACCGGCACCGTCGCACTCCTGCGCGAGCCGCCAGCGACGTCCCGCACCAGCCGACTCTGGAAGGAGACCCGCAGGATCGCCGCCGATGACCACGCGCACTGGAACGTTACACAGGTCTCGCGGTCGACCATCGACGACTCTATGATGGACGTGCATTTCTCCGGCAGCCCGATGCAGTGCGATAAGGAGATGTGCGACGAGCTTGACCAGAAGTTCGACTGGCGCGGCAGCATGAGCTTGAAGGAGGCGAGCCGGTACAAATACGTCATGGACGTGAGTGTGCCTTCATCCTATACCATCCGCGACGACGGCTGACCATCGTCATCCCTTCAGGTCGATGGCAATGGCTGGTCGTCGAGGTTCAAGCGACTGATCACTAGCAACGCGATGGTTTTGAAGTCGTCCGTCTACCCCGAGTGGTTCACCGAGCGCATTGTGCCCTGGGTACATTACGTTCCGGTCCAAAACGACTACTCCGACTTACTCGACATCATGGCCTTCTTCCGTGGCGGCGTGAACGGCGACGCTGGCCACGATGAGCTCGCGCGCAAGATCGCCGATGCCGGCAAAGTCTGGAGCCAAACCATGTGGAGACGGGAGGACGTGACGGCGTACATGTTCAGGCAAGTGGACATCTTTACTGCGATGCGACATTCTGTACTGACATTCTTTCCCTCAGGTTGATGCTCGAATATGCGCGACTGATGAGCAACAATCGCGCTGAGATGTCTTATGGGGCCTTGGTTTGATACGATCTTGCACATAACAAAATGTATATTTCACTGGACTTTGTTGTATAGAATATTGGTCGGGCTGAACACTCAACCCCCTAAGGATGTGCGCTCGGCATGTCTTGCCTTCCCCGCATCCAAATGTTCGAAATTAGCAAACACATCCGAATATCTATCAGGCGCGCTGCCGTTTTGATGGCGTTCGCGAACCTCGTGAGATGCGGGTTCACGCCGCGCTTTCTCCCCCAGTCCGGATCGACCTAGACCGACCGCATCCTCTTCTTGCGGGTTTCGATGCGGAGCTCCTCCGCGGGCAGCTTCATAATCCCGGTGCTGCTGGAGATGTTTAATGACAAAGTGCGCCACTCTTCCGGCAAGCAAGGACGTCGGCCAGCAGTATATCCGCATCGTGTGTCGCAGTCCTTCTTGACGGTACGACAAGACCTCTTGCCCAAGTTTCGTGATTGCCGCATGGAATCTCTTGAAGTCCGTGTATGTTGTCGAAATTCGGGAGTCCATCCTAAGCGCCGCGTATGATATCGAATGAGAAAACAACCATCAGCTTCACGTAGAATAGTAGAAAGGTCATGATCTCGCTCGGGTCGAACGGATCAATGGCATCTGCACTGCGTGGCGATCGGGCACTCAAAGCATGCGACGTTTCCGACGACCATGATTATGAGCGCGCAGTCCATCGGTGTTCGACATGCGTGCATGTGTGGACAATCAACTTCATGAAACGATTATTTTGGACTACATATCGTACTTAATGTCGGAACTCCAGTATCTCCGTGCCTCGCCAATCCATACCATACGATAACGAGCATCGCATGGTAACGCGTCATACAGTAATATCATGTATCGCATATTAAGCATTAGAGGAGCTCCTCAGCCCGTCCTACTGGCGGGCCGCAGCCATTCCGCGAACCGCAGCTGAAGACAGTGAGTCTCCGCTGCCCTCCATATCGGCTTCGAAATCCTCCCAAACAGTGCGCCCCGTCGGCTTGAAGTTCAAGAACTTCGTGGCGCGATCGGGTTGAGTTCTGGAGTTGCCTGCTATCACGTACCGACCGAGGCGCGGAATGCCCCAGTCGGGGAGCAGACTGTCGACCTCATCAAGAGAAATCTGTATAGGGTCGGGGCTCGAGATGAGACCCTTAGCATGGAGAATCTTGCCAACCTCCACAGCGAGCTCGAGATGAGACGTCTCGTGTGTGGTGGTGAAGTAGTAGCCCTGACGAGATTGGTATCGCCACTCGATAAAGTGACAGATCAGGGAAGACATACCTCTTTACCCCACGTGGCATTACCGCCCTTCGCCGCGGCGGCCTCTACAAGTTTGAGGTAGACCTGCATGAGGTCGTCGAGGTGAACCCAGTTACGCATGTTGGCGCCGGACCCATAGTAGAAGGGGGCGCCGCGTCTCAAAGACTCGGTGCGAAGCACGGGAAGGAGTACGCTCTGCGTGCGGCCGGGGCCGCGCCCTTTGCCGCAGATGCAGGGAGGGCAAATGATTGCCGTCTTCAACTTGTCCGGGTGGGCGACCGCGGCCTCCTGGATGATCTTGTCGACATTCCGGTGAAGTGCATCGTCTCTCATGGAAGTAATAGCGTCGATGTCGTCGATGTCGGACCAGACCTTTGGGTTGAATTCCCCTAGGTGCGTCCCCTCGATCCAGTCGTCTATGATGCCCGTGCCGCTAAGGTGGATCAAGTAGGATGCCTCATTGCGGGTCAGCAAGCCAGCGATGATAGCTTTGATGCTGGGTTCGTCATCGGAGTTGCCGCTATCTGCGGTCACAAAAATACGACTATCAGACCTATACAGGTAGCAAGGTGAATTCTTACTCACGGATGACGATATCGGCTTGCGACGCGGCCGCCAAAATGACGTCGGCGCTGCTATAGTCTCCGTGAACGATACGAACGTGGGGGTAGCGTTCTGCAAAAATAGCAGGCACGTTACGGAGGAGCACGGTGTAAGACCAATCCGGATGGGCTTTGATCAACGTGTCGAGGACGGTGCCTCCGATATAGCCTGTAGTACCCGTGCTGCGTCTATTGTGAGTATGATATCTCGCAAGCACAACAGGGGCGTACAGAAACAGCTTCGGCGCCATAAGTGTCTACAACAGATATCGTTAGTGAGGGCGGATGAGGGCAGCTATGGACATAGATATACTCCCTGCCCTTTCCATGCGCGAAAACACTGAATAGCCGGACGATCAGTCAGCGCACAGATGACAAAGCTCGATGGTAGCCTGCTGAGTAAGGTCTGATGGATGGTGGCAAGTACGTCTCCCACTTGCACAATCCAAACAATTGACGTAGGTCCCCATCTCACGGACATCGGAGTGCGGTCCATAGGCGATCACTCCAGGTTCAACCGCGCAGGCAATTCATGATGGCATATGTTGTACGATGGACACCACAAGTAGAGATGCCGGACATACTTCTTGGGAACAAATCGGGGCCGGAATAGCAGAGTTTTGCGATGCATCCATGGCCAGTGGTGAACTCACCGCCCTAAGTTCTCAACCTTCAAGCCGAAACGGTCGCGCAGAGTCCGACGGATTTAACTGATACAAGATCTACGCTGGTGCTCGTATCTTGCCTCCCAAGAGCGTACCGCGGCAGAAGATAGTGATCCCTCTGTATGCAGTTTTCACCGAGTATGAGCTCACGCTGAAGACACGTATTGCGCTAGCCCGCAGTCATAAAGACGGTGTGAGTGAACGAGCAATGCGATCATTCATATATCTGGAGCATTGGATGTTCAGCCCCGAGAGACGGACAAGAGAGACGCGGCCATCGTGTCATCGTGCAAGGGAAATCACGGTCGCCCGAGGGTGGGCGCGAAGAGGCGCGAAGGGCGCGAGCTCGAGCACTGCTCGAGCGTGGGGTCAGATTTCCGCCACCGCCCAGTCTTAAAATGTAACCAATTCATGGTACTACAAGGCCGACAAGATACGCTTAGAGTATCCTTCATTGCCTGCCTCGACCACTATCGCGACCCGCGACCCTCAACGATCAACGCGGAGCGGATATACCCAGCCATCACCATCTATGGATGCTCCAGCTTGCAGGACATACCTCATTGCGCCTCATTCCGTGGATGTCTGAAGGGATGCGGATAATATACCTCATGCCTTCCTCCTGAAGCACATCCGTCGAGCCCCTGTTGCGTTGTTCGTGAGTCTATGAAGACCCGCTCACTTCTTCCTTGCTAACCATCCCTTAACTCATCCATCCATTATCCCACAATCATGCAGCCTCGTGGACGTTCCCTAAGCCTGACCCTAGCCTTGCTTGCGATGTTGCCCTCCGCATTGGCTCAAGAGTGTCAACCTGGAAGTTACAGCCAAACGGGCCAGGAACCATGCACTTCGTGCACCGCCGGGGCGTACCAAGATCGTGAGTCCATCTTCATCCTCTGTTATCCTCGCGAACTCATGGTCCACATCGTCAGAGGCCGGCTCGACCTTTTGCATGGGCGCTGATGCAGGCTACTATGTCCCCAGCGACGCTGCGACAGCAGAGACCATCTGTCCCGCGGGCTCGTACAGTTCGGACACCGGAAGCACTGAATGTACCACATGTCCTGCGGGGTAAGCACCCTTTCCCACCGCGGCCGACGTGTTTCCTCATGTCGTCCTTCCTCGCTTTAGCTCCTCCTGCCCCAGCGAAGGCGAGACCGCCCCTCAATCGTGCGCGCCGGGCCAATTCCAGGATCAGACTGGAGCGACGAGCTGCAACGACTGTGCAGCGGTGAGCACCCTCCTCCTGTACAGCGCGTCGAATACGAAACTGATTCCGGTACTGCAGGGTTCGTTCAGCGACCGATACGGCGCAACGTCGTGCTGCACCTGCTGCTCCGGCTTCTACCAGGATCAGACGGGCCAGACGTCGTGCACGATCTGTCCCGCCGAGGGAAGCTTTGCATAAGGGTACTCCGACCCCGGCGCGACCGACGTCGAGCAGTGCACTGCGCAAGCCGGCGCTGTCGCCACTTGCGACCAGGACACCTCCACCGGCACTTGCCGTAAGCGATTTCCACTCCCGTTTCTTATTCGAATCTTCGCTCACGAGAATTTTTCTCAGCCACCACGACAGCTGACCCTGCCACGCCCACCGGCGGAACGCGCAAGCGTGCCCCGCTTCGCCCTCGCACCGGCTCATGCGCGCGGGGCCAGAGCTCGTGCCCGGTTTACAAGAATGGGGCCGTGGCGAGATACGAGTGCATCAACACGTCGATGAACCTCGAGCAGTGCGGAGGGTGCGTCACCAGCGGAGGCGGCCTCGACGGCGTGCGCTCGTTGGACGGTGGACGGGACTGCAGCGCGATCCCGCAGGTGGACGAAGTGAGCTGCTTTAAGGGCGAATGCCATATCAGTGAGTCGCCTCGAGGGTTCACGAGGTTACACTCGAAGCTGATCTTGCGGACGTACAGAAACTTGCCGCAATGGCTATGAGGTGTCGGCGGACGGCGAGCGCTGCCAAGCTGCGAAGGCCGTTGCGTCGCGCAAGCGCCGCGGCTCGCAGATCCGCAGGAGGGGCCTCTAACGGTGGTCCTGCGATGGTGCACACCTGATTGTCTCCCGATTTTCACGATCTTGCGCTCGTATGACTGTGTCACGTATACATTCATCTCCATTTCATCCTTTGTGATCTAGTCATGCTGCGGCGAAACGGAACTTTGGAATAAATCTGCACGCGAGCCGTTTCTTCAACTCGACGAAAGTCTCCTCCCTGCTGGCTATTACAAACTCGTTATTATTCGACCAGACACGCTCTCCCGCCCTTCTGCCATCACTTTCCATTGAACGCGTTACTGTACGTACGAAGCGTCTTTACGTAACAGCATCGCGCAGTTTGATCCTGCACAGATAAGTTACATTCGAGTGAACCAGAACGTCACCAATGACAGCGAAACCAACTATGAGACTGCAGTACTAGACGAACTCTTGCTTCTCGCCCCCAGCTCACAGCATCGGGCGAGTCAATCGGTGATTTTCATGACCTCTGTTCAGTGCAGGCAGCCAATTCTTCCAAAATCACTATCAGCACTTATTGAACGCTGCCGACGAGCCGAGGACTTGCGGTGACGTCGGTGGCCGTAAGAAGATTTGATCCGCAGGGTGGCGGTGTCGCGGATGCTTCCCCAATCGTCGTCCCGACCCTCTCTTCCTCTTTTAGCCTCTTGCCCGTTCTGAACGCACTGGCCGACGCGGTTCCTGCCTTGGCTTGTTCGTACACACCAACGTGAGGAGGTAACGAGGAGTATACTGCAGATGTCTCTAGGCTGCTAGCCGGTCTTTCTGCACTGCGCCTTTGGCGAAGAATGATCACGGCATCGGGTCCAATATTACAGTGAAACCACCGCGCTGCAGGGAAGAGCAATGGAGGACTGCCTTCGCAGGCCGATCACCTTATTATTCGCCAGCTCTTCTCCGCTTCCACATGCATGGGCCGCGCCCTACAGCTGTCCGCCTGCTCCGTTCTGGAGAGAGAGATCTAAGACATACCATTCGCCTCCGCAGAGAGAGCACTCAAGCCAGCCTCCTATAACCGCGTCGCCGACCGATCGCCCACCTCCTATCCTAATCACCAGCCCTAAGGCTGCGCCCTTCCCGTTCGTTGGCTTGATCCGCCCCACCTTCCTTTCCTTTACCACCACTACCACCAACGACCAGCAGGGCGTTATGTCCCGGTCGCCAACGATGGTCCGCCCCTCTGGTCATTCCAGGTTCCTATCCTCCCCTCTCGACTTACGGCGCGCGCGCCCAGCCTCCCAAGATGACCTCCTCGCCGATCCATCCTCCCGGTCCACCTCCACCTCCATCTCCCCCTCCCCCTCCCCCTCCCGCTCGCGCTCTCCGATCCAGTTCGCCCGCCTGCCGCACACCCTCAAGGATGTCGTCGGCATGCCCAAGCGCCGCGCACGGCGGCACGTCCTCTCCGCGCTCTACTTCGTCCTCCTCTTCGCCACCGCCTACCGCGCCGTCTCGCTCGCCTTCGAGCGCCTGCCCGGCACTTTCTCCCTCTCGCCCAAGGTCCTCTCCGGCCTCCAGTCCGATCACTCCAACGTCCGGATGGGCCCGGCGTGGACGCAGCCGCCGCTCCGGCCACTCTCGCGCCTCGGGCCGCACAAGCAAGAGCTCGAGCGCGCCAAGCCCAAGAAGAAGGCGAAGGCGAAGGCGAAGGGCGCGGGTAGCAGGAAGGGCCGCAAAACGGGGGCGCAAGCGCAGACGCCTCTTTCCTCCACCGCCGCCTCGGCGAGCGCACACAATTACCTCAAGAACGGCGTCGTGCTCGCGAACCCGGCGGGACGACACCCGATATACGAGCTCATCGAGAACGCCGAGCGGGAGTGGGAGGGCATGTTGCACCGGCAGAGTAAGAGTCTCGACGAGGCTGTGGCCGAGTACGAGCGCCGGTACGGGCGGCGACCACCGAAGGGCTTCGACCGATGGTGAGGCGCCCCTGCTCTCTCGCTCGCTCCCGACCCCCGGTTCCATCCTCTGACGACCTTGTATGGACCAGGTGGGACTACGTCGAGACGCATGACGTGCTGCTCCCGGACGAGTACGACCAGATTCACGAAGACCTCGAGCCCTTCTGGGCGATACCTCCGGAGCTGCTCCAAGACATCCAATACGCGTGGGAGGCCGCGCCCGACACGTACACGCTCGGTCGATACGGGAACTGGAAGGGCGCCGGAGTGACCATCGTCAACGATACGCTTCGTGGCCGACCTGGTGAGTCTTCTTTCAAATCTGTGTCGGTGTGGCGGAGGCCCATCGCTGACAACGATATCCTGCAGGCGACGCGACGTTCGAGAAGCAGATCCGGGGCTCGCGCGAGATCACCGCGCTGCTGAAGGACGTGCAGGAGTTCATCCCGCCGTTCAGGGCCGTGTTCAGCACGGCCGACGGACCGAGCTTGCTCTCCAGCTGGCGACTGCGGGAGGAGGCCAAGAAGACCGTACAAGCGGGCAAATGTACGTTTTTTGGTCCCCCCCCCCCCTTTCTCCCCGCGCCCGTTTATTCCCGCCTCGCAGACGGAACGTTGACGCTCGATTTTTTATCGAAACGCGCAGACCTGGACATCGCCGACCTGCCGCCGCACGAGGACATCGGCTGGCTCTCCGCCTGCGCGCCGACGTCTCCTGCGCGCGCCGTCGCGGACGCCTTCGCTCTAGCCCCTCTGAACACCACCGCGAACCGCACGCGCGCGTTCGTGCACGCCCCGCTCCGCGCCTCGGACCCGTGCCAGCACCCGTCCTTGCTCACCTCGCACTCCGCCTTCCTCGCGCACGGGAAAGGGCCCGCGCTGCCGGACCCGCGCCTCGTGCCGCAGTTCTCGTGCGCGACGACGGGCGCGCACGCGGACGTCGTCGCCGTCGGGTATCAGGGGACCGGCAGCGGGGACGACGAGGTGCCCGCGGTGGAGTGGGAGGAGAAGCTGGACGGCTCGAGGGATGATGAAGGGAACGGTAGGCTCTTTTGGAGGGGAGGGCCGGCGTGCGCGGGCGAGGCGTGGTGCGGCGCGGCGCAGAGGGCGCGGCTGGTCAAGCTCCGCGACGGCGGCGGCGCTGTGATGGTCGCGAACGCGACGGGGTGGGGCACGGCCGAGGTGGAGGCGGGGGGAGGCGGGCTGTTGGACGTACGGTTCGCGGATCGGCCGATGGACGCGCGCGAGCTGGCGAGGCACAAGTTCGCGATGGACGTGGACGGCGGCGGGGAGCAGGAGGCCGGGTTTAAGCGTCTTTTGGCGTCGGGCGCGGTCGTGCTCCGGTCGACGGTGCGCCGGGCGTGGTTCGAGCGCCGGATGGTGTCGTGGGTGCACTACGTGCCCGTGCAGAACGACTACTCGGACGTGCTGGACGTCATGGCGTTTTTCACCGGGCTCGGGGGGGACGCTCAGGTTGCGGAGAAGGACGCGTTGGCGAAGAGGATCGCGGAGCACGGGAAGGAGTGGACGCGGAGGATGTGGAGGAAGGAGGATCTGACGGCGTATTTGTTCAGGTGAGCGTCCCCCGCGATTGGCGAGGGTGACAGGGCGCGGTAATTCTGATCAACTTGACCCTTGTTTGCACAGGCTGTTCCTCGAGTATGCAAGGCTGATGAGCGTCGAGCGCGAGAAGATGGATTTCGAGGATATCGAGAACGAGTGGCGGCGCTAGACTGTTTTGCTTCATCTTTTCATCCGCCCAAAGCATTGCCATAAGTACTTCGTTCATTCCTACTTTGTGTATTTCTTTCGTTTACCGGTACTATCGAGCGGCTACGCGCTCTGCGGTCCGCTGGGACACCCGTTTGTATATTCATAGTATCAGTGTCGAATTGTACGAAAACTTGATTCTTGGGTCGTCGTGCGATGCAAAGAATGTATTCTGCGTATGTACAATACATCTCCCCGTGGGTTTGGGTGAAAGACAGTTGGCCCCCAGGGGCCGACCGTCCTTGGGCGCGATCCGAGGGTGAGCCCAGAGGCTCACCCACGATTCGCTGGTAGAGATGCGTTGTTGTCAGTGAACTTCGGTAAACACCTACAGGACGCGGGCGGGCGGGTGCTGATGCTGCCTAGTGGGCCACCTCTACTGACGAGGGAGTCCGGAGGGATGAAGAGCGAGACGCGAGCGGAGTTTCAATTGTCTCCCTCGAGCCCAAGACGGCGCACCGAGCTTCGCTCGGTGCTCGCTTCTTGGGTCGTCGTGCGATGCAAAGAA